CAAGTGTCGTTTTACGGCAAGACTAGAATAGCTATTTCCCCATTGCCGTTCACTCTAAAGTCGTGAGTAATATTTCCAACTTCATGTGTTTCCGAGAGACTTTGTAGGACATTGTTCCCGACTTTAAAATTTAATATTTGAATACTAATTTTTACATATTTTAGAGAACACGGCAACAGCAAGCTGTAAAAGACATCCTTCGTCTTGAAATTCTGCTGATTTTTTATGCACTGACAAGAAAACGATCATTTTCATAACATTCGATGAACACTTATTGCTGTAGTTAAACTACCAAACTGCTAAGGTGATGTTTGTTTTCTGGGCGTCAGTACTGTCAATTTTGCCTGTCAATTTGTGTTATGATTTTAAATTATTTGGATAAAGTCGATGTAAATAGGACTGTAAAAGACTCCAAATAAAGCATTGTCTTGTCTTGCCTTGTCTTGCCTGTTATCCAGCGACACAATTCTCCATAAAGCCTATCGATAAACCCGTTAGCTGATTGCAGTTAAACGGAAGCAGCACATTTAGAAAAATAACTTAATAATTATTTTTTTCCAATCTTTAGTTATGAGCTTTCACGAAAGAGCACTTGTCGAGAAGCTACTGGAGAATTATCACACAGGGCTCAGGCCTATCATCTCTAATAGCTCTCAGCCAACGACAGTTAATCTTAGTCTCAGACTAGTGCAGATTTTTGAAATGGTGAGTAAGATAGATCATAGGCACTCAATGTGTGCAGAAGGCTCAGTTGAGATCTGAGAAAACTAAAATTTTACAGTCAGGCAATGAAAATCGAAGCAGTGTCTTGATACAGCTGGATTAACGAAAGTTTCTTTTTGTAAATTTTACAGGATGTAAAAAAACAGGTTATCATCACAAGTGTATGGCTCAAGCAGGTACGTACGCGAAGCAGCTGTTAAGACGCTAACATCGCCATCATCATCAACATCATCATCATCATCATCATTATTTAGTAAATCATCAACAAATTCGTCTTCATCTTCGTTTTTTGTCATATTTGTATCTCATTTTGTCTTCCTTACAGTTTTTCATATAAATGACAGCCCGTTAGTTCAAATAAATGCACTTGTCAATATAAAGGCATGAAATGTGATCTGACGAAAGCATATATAGGAGCCAAATATTCTTGTTGTCATCATTAGTAGAGGCAAGATTTGGGTTAATCATAAATTATTTTTAAGAAGAGCAAGGCTTGTCTAACCATATACAAATGCCTAAGATTCAGATTGAACTTATAATTCTTGAAAATAACAGTTCTGAGAAATTGAACTTACTCGCTAAATCATTCTCGAGCAAAGGGCTACAGTAGAAGCCAAAACCTTCATCTTCACAACAGATTGGTGTAGAAACTAAAGTTTAAATATTTCTCCAGAAAGAAGAATTGAACAATACTTACAAAGGAAAGTACAGTTGGTTAAGGGAGTTGTCACTGGGCAAACATTATGATATTAAGAGTGAAATAGAACAAAATATGTCAGAAATCGTTCGGTTTTACACTCGTTAACAAGTTGAGAACTAATCTAGACCCTGTCGTGCATCATTTTGTTTGTTTTCTAAAGGCCTGGTACGACCCAGCTTTGCGGTGGAATAAATCTGATTTTGGTTGGATCGATGAAGTCAGCTTGTCTCCTAGTGACGTTTGGGTACCAGACACTGTACTGCTGAACAAGTAAGCATATTATAAAATAAACTGAATTTATTAATTAGTTAAAATTAATTCAATATTATAGACACATTTGAAAAAGTTGATGTAAACCTTCTTAACCCTTTCGAGCTTTCAACAATTTCAAAAATGAATGTTCAACGGCAAAAACCGTCAGAGATGCGTGACACTTGTACTTCAATAGCTGATGAGCTGATATTCGGTAAAGAAATAGCAAAAAGTGTCAAATGTTTAAAAAACACACACACAAAAAAAACAAACGTTTCGGGTTTACGAGCCTTCTTCACTGTGAAAAAAAAAACCGGTTGTACACAGTACTTCGCAATACCAGAGACAATACCAATTATAGAAGCATCTATGTCTGTATAGGTTGAGAAATTAGAATAACTGCTTTTCACTTTTTTCTAGCGCTGATACTAGCCACATGGGTGAACCTGTGGGAATGAACAACCCACTGTTGATTACTTCCCATGGCACAGTCCGCTGGCTGGCGCCTATTATCCTCAAGAGTTCGTGCAAACTCAGTGTCCGTTATTTTCCGTTCGACGAGCAGTTCTGCAGGCTCAAGTTTGCGTCCTGGACTTACAGCAATAGCTCTTTGCGTCTTGTGTCAGAAGAAACTGAAATCCTACAGAACTATACTGGTAAATTACACACTCTGAATAAAGGTTGACTGTTTAATTCTTAAAACTCCAAAAACATCATCATCATCATCATTATCAACATGAGTCGGTAAGAATCTTATTTGCGTTAATCTTCCCGTGCGTACATCTTCTAAATCTCACGCTACGCTTCTGTGGAAAACTGCGCTCAACAATGCTAAATATTTTAAACGGTCTATCTCAACATTCAGAACTGCATGACACACTGTTCAACTGAATGTTGAGCCGTGTGTCACGAGTCTAATCAAGGTTTCTCTTTCACAGAAAGCGGCGAATGGTACCTGGAAAAAGTCTACGACCTGAATTCAACAAGCAAAGCAACTCACTTGAGCGAGGAAAGCAAGTCAGCCGTGACGTATGTGATTCACATACGCCGTGAGGTGTTCTACTACTTCGTCTACCTCATCACGCCTTGTATGGTGACGTCATTTATGACGTTAATCCTATTTACACTACCCCCTGAGAGTGGTGAACGGATGGTAATGGGTGTCACAATTCTGTTATCACTCGCCGTGTTCTATTTGTTAGCTTCGACTCACATTCCCGAGACATCAGAGGTGGTACCTTTGATTGGCAGGTATGGTGACGTCATTTCTGACGTTAATCTTATTCACACTACCCCTTGATAGTGGTGAACTGATGGTAATGGGCGTCACAATTCTGTTATCACTCACCGTATTCTATTTGTTAGCTTCGAATCACATTCCCAAGACATCAGAGGTGGTACCTTTGATTGGCAGGTATGGTGACGTCATTTATGAGGTTAATCTTATTCACACTACCCCTGATAGTGGTGAACTGATAGTAATGGGCGTCACAACTCTGTTATCACTCACCGTGTTCTATTTGTTAGCTTCGACTCATATCCCTGAAATGTCAGAGGTCGTACCTTTGATTGGCAGGTATGGGATGATTGGTTGGTCTATGGAGATGAAAAAAAAACTTATTAATTTTGTAATTTTTGATTTAGCGAAATTCGCCATAGTGAATCAATACGGCCGGATAGGCGATAAAAATGGACTTGCATCCCAGTTGATATTTCCCTCTTTATTACCCAGCCAGCCCATGAAAGATTGTCCAAATTAATATATACTCGGAATTAATTATACAATACACTATCATTATTAATTTTACGACTTTCTTTCGAAAATGTTCGTGACATCTTTCTGACATTTTTTCTACAACTATTTGACAATACCATTAGCTTCCGTAAAGCAGAACGAACCAACCAATCGTCAAGATCTTTATACATCTTACATAAAAGAATTTATTGTTAACTTTTCAATGGCACAAGCGTTGAATAAGTTAAGAAAGTTTGAGAAGTGATGTAATACTATTTTGTATTTATCTCACGACAGATACTACTCGCTGACCATAATAGAAATCGCATGCGCACTGGGATTGACTTGCTGGGTGCTACGGTTTCATCACTACAACACATCAGTCGGGAAAGTACCAAAATGGGTCAGGGTATGAGCAACATAGTTATAACTTCCCCTAATTTCAGTGGTGGATCCAGGGGAGAGGCCCTAAGGGCCCGGCCCCCCACCTTATTTTTAGACCAAAATGAGGCCCGAAGGCCCAACCGCCCCTCCCCCCTCATCTCAGGGTCTGGATGAATTTTAATGAGCTTTTATAATATCTACAGATATTTACGCCGATCTTTGAACTTTGTACACATGGTCGCACGTATGTTTTCCTTTAAGGTTTATATTCTCGGATATGTTGCAAGAATGGTGCGCTACGAGGTCCCAAAGAAACCTCAAACAGAAAACGGTGGAGTTGGAGAGGAAGGTGAGTCCCACTCTAGTCATTCTCTCTTTAATTTTCAATGCAGTACGTTGTATCAGTTGACGTTTTTGGAAAGTCTAACCGATGAGACCGCATAGCTTTTTCGGTAACTTCACCAAAATTTCACCAAACTCATCTAAAAACCAACTCTTCCGTCATAAAATCCTAAAGTGTAAACGTTTATGTCGTGTTCTACGAGTCTAGTCTTTGAAAACCGCCAAGTTATGACCGAATTACAAATGATTTAGAGTTACCCACACATCCTTGCGGTCTTAACGCAGGCAGGTGGAATAGCTGAGCTTAGCTGTAAAAATAACAAATATTGCTGGCCTTCAATTACACCTGTTGAGTTCGAATAATTTACTGATTATGGATATGATTACTGCTAAAAGCAAAAGAAACGATATGGACAATATAGATTATATCAATCTTCCACGTTGTCTAACCATTCACATGTGATATGTGACGGAAACCGTAGATTCAATAGACTGCGAGCAGTCTCTTATTTTTCTTTGCAAAGTTACTGCACGAGAAAGGCAAGCACGCAGGCGCGTCGCGAGCCGCGATAAACGAGGGCTCGTCTGGTCCCAATCCGTTTTTGTAACATATAACGGCCTGGTTTGCAAACGCGCTGGCTGACATAAAAACTAGACGGATTTTAAAAGAAAAGGCGGACTGCAAGCAGTCTATAGATTCAACAACTGCACAGTACCGATTTTACGACCAATCCATTGGTGTAATGCTAATGAACGAGGTAACAAGGAAAACCTTAAAATGCAACTTATTTCAAGTTCTGCTAAAAATTTTCAGACGAAGGAGATAACGCTGTAACGATGAGCGACAGTGACAGCGGCTCCCGCATTCGTAGACGTCTTCCCAGAGAACCTAGTGGCATCACCATGATGGCAGAAAGGGTGTTGAAGAAACAAGATGAGGACAGGGTACAAGAAGAATGGCAGCTTGCTGCACGTGTCATCAACCGGCTCTTCTTGATTTGTTATCTTGTGGCTGTTGTTCTCTCCATATTTGGCATCTTCTTGCAAGTTCCTGGAGTTATCATCTCCAGGCCCTCTCCGCCAACTTCGGACGATGAGTAGTCATGCTTGTGGGAGTATGTTAAAGCCTCCCTTAAAGTGGCTATGCCACGAGGATTGTGTCGTTTTATGTCAATAGCATGCTTAACTTATTTCTTGGTGCATTAATTTACTCATACACAAAATGCTACTGTGGAATTATGAAGAAGATATCACGAAAATTTTATCCAGAAGCACCATAATACTTTTAACAATAATACTTAACCATAATACTTTTTTGGTGATTTCTATAGGCAATGAGAATTAACACTTGAAAAACTTGGCGCATTTTTTTTTCAAGTTTCAGTCACTGCCAATCCTTGCCACCCGTCAGCTGACCCGTATCAACGGCAGTTATTTCGGAGACAAACAGTCAACTCTCTCTACGACGGACACTTTTGGGACCGGCACTAAGTGTCCGTCTTAGAGAGGTGTCTGTCGTATAGAGAGTCAAATAAAGGGAGTAAAGAAAGGCAGGGACCACCTCTAGGTGTCCGTTTTACAGAGGTGTCCTTCTTATATATAGAGGTGTCCGTTAAGAGAGAGTCGACTGCATTTTGACTTGAGAGGGCACAGGTATTACCACACTGACTTTGTGCGCTGTAAAATAATTTACCCTTGAGGCTCACCAGGGTATCCTAGATGTGAAAAAACAAAAATTAATTTGTGTTCCGTAAGAATACCTTCAGTGCAGTGATGCGATGGTCATCACATAAACATAAAAATGCTAGCGCCCAAAGTGTTAACGGCGATCCGTGTTTGACACATCGATATTGCCCTAACTATAGAAAAAAACACTCGGCGTGCAAATTCAATAATGGTTCACGATTATTATGCATTAACTATGAAGTTTTTTTTGAAGGTTAAATGAATTCATTCTAACTGAAATTCGGTAATAAGAGCTACTTCAAATGTAAAAAGGACGCCGATGACAGTAAAACCAAAGGCATCATGTAAGTGTTTCATGGTTTTTAGCCGGAGGAATAAATATTTAATGCTAGATGCTTAGTTATTTAATAAGACGATTCTAGAATACCCTGACGCCCGTTTTGTTTTGTTTTGATTTTTTGTTTTGGTTACTCGGTTTTATAATTTCTCTACCCCCTGGTGGCGCTTTTCGCTTTTAGAAACAGACAGACATAGTGAAGCCGGGCTCTGCCATATTAATGTTTTGTCGTAACAATGTAGGGGTTACAGACGTATAACACGTTTGCTTAAAATTGGTTGACCAATTTTTTTAAACAAAATTCTTAATATCAGCTGTCTAAAGATGAAGTACTAAGACTAACTACTTAGTTTTCATGTTTGCCACAACAATAAAATAAAGTAATACAGCAATAAAATGTGCGCTATCGAAAGTAATAAAACTTAGAACCTTTTCCGGGCCTCGTCTTTTGAAAATTTCGTTCTAGGAATTGAGCTAAAATTTAAGTCTTAGTCTAAATTATTAATATTTTCATCTCACTGCCTCAGGGTCATTTTTATATTTCACGCAAATAATGCAAAGGGAATAAAGACGAAACTAAACCATCATACAGATAATCACAAACATTTACTTGTACTATACGTACGAATAGGACTGTTTCGGGGACGCGATCGCGTCTTTTATTGGCTGTTAGCAGGTTGCACAAGAAACTGCACGTTCAGGGATATATATCAACGTTCTAGTCTGATCCTTGGTCCTTTTTATAACTATGTCTTCCCTAATAATAATTATGGAATAGACAAGATTCAAGTTCTGGATTCGCTTGCATCGTTTTTCATAAAAAGGGAAGAAAAAACGTATCTCTACTGAGTCCTTATGCTCATTGTTTTTGATATATCAAAATGGCTGAGGCTAACAGGTGCTAATAGCTATTATGGAATGACTGCAACCTTGCGTGTAGTTTGATTCATGTAAGTATTGTTTGAGGAAGGAATGATCTACAAATCGTACCTCCTAATTTAAGTATTTGTTTAGTATCTTAAGGGTAAGTTGGTTTCCACAGTGATTTGCATTGACTTAAAATTGTTGAAAAACACAACTTCAATGCCCTATGTGTAAGTATCTGATAAATACTTAATATACACGTAAATGGGTCCCGCATTAAAACTTAAAAGCACTGAGTGGCCTTTCACTGTATGATTCCGGTGGCCATATTATGAAAACAAAAAAACAATTAAAAACAAGAAAACAAAAGATAACAATATCACCTGCCAAACCCCTAGCGCCTGCCAATAAATATTTAACATAACCTTTTTTAATTGAGTTCTCATGGTCATGGTAATTCGCCCTTCTTCATTACTTTGTTTTTGACGGATGAAAACTAGAGAGACGAGAAAGGACGGAAATTTGACGTTGATAACTGACTCTTATCGGCACTGAGCTCTCCGTTAGTCGAATAAAATTTCAATTAGTTTACGCACAGTTTGCAAAAATCCTTCCTTACTTACTTTAAAAAATTCCATTCTTACCAAGACGTGGGTTTAGACAAGGGCGTTCCTAATTTCGAAATGCTTTATTAATGAATAAACAGCGCAAAACCGGTAATATTAAAAAAGGAGATAGTTGAGCCCGACACCAGTTCTACGGCAACTAGTTAAGTGAACTTTCATGGCGTCTATAAATTCGTTTCTTTTACTTGCATGGATTACTTGGCTTATTTTTTGTGCTTCTTTATGTACTGGTAAGTTTTGTTCCCATCTGCAGGCAATCTTTTCAATTTTTGAGCTTTTATTGTTTTTTCGTATTTCAATAATCCGACGAACTTGTATGATGTACAAAACTCTTAACCTAAATAATAGCCTGTAAACCATAAAATATACAATAATGTAAATTTCCCTTTAGTTAAATGGGTGCGTTTTTCGGTGTAAAATGTTAAGGTTTTTCCTCGCAGAAAAAAAGTACTAGATGTTGCAAAGAGGGAAACAGTTTTTCATTCACTCAGATTTACCAATTTTAATATAATGTTGCCACTGAAAGCACTAATTTACAAAAAAGAAGTTAAGATTTTATCAATATGCGTTTAAGTTCTTTCAAATGAGAAGAAAACAAGATGAAGGCCTTTAAAAATCTTGATTCTTTAGAGAAAAAAACTGCAGAGCTATTATGTTTTATTAAAGACAAAATAACCACATAAATTTACAACATGCAGCTGCAGATCTAGAGATATATGATGATACGGCATTTGGATGGCTGAGGTGTAAAATTCGTTGTAATATCTACCTGGAGTTATGAAAACCGGGTTAGCAAACATTTTGTAATTTTTCTCAACTTCCCCTGTCTAATAGCTTGTTTACTGTGTTTTTTGCTTATGTCGTATTTTTTTTGCTTGTCTTGACAGAATTACTATCTATCTCACCCCCACCCCACCCCCCCACCCCGCCGCTTCCTTTTTTTTCCCCTACCCACAATTCCGTGGTGTTGACAGGTATGTGATCGCGTGGTTGAACTGTGGTTTCTCCAAAATATTCTGTGCCAGCCATTAAGATTGTTTCGTCGGTGTTAAGCTTAGCTGATTGTACCTTGGAAAAGCAACTCTCGACTGAGGAAAATTGGATCTAGGTCTAGTTTCAGCGGGCTCTAATGGTATTGCACCATAGGCCAGTTTTTGCAGATAACAAGGTGATAATTTGTGCACTATGTTTCATTCAGTTTGTTGTCTATTACATGAGGAATCCTCTTGTTTATCGGACCGCGAAAAAAGTAGTGTTTTGCTAACTATCATAACTATTTAAGTTGTTATGCAAGCCTAAAGCAGGCACTCTTTCGCTGCAGCTCAATCAACTTAAAAATTTCTGGACTGAAATGACAACGGTTTGAAACTTTGCGAAGTCAGTTTACTGAATAAATATTCTAAAATTGGCGTCATTTTAAATTTGGACTCGCTGGAATGCTTCTAGGGACCATTAACGTACTGCCTAGAGTCATATAAAGACTTTTAATCGGCCTTTGAAAGGGTTTTGTTTTTTTAAATTGCCACGTAGTAGAATGAGTTGATATTTTTGCTAACCCGGTTTTCAAAAATCCAGGTATATATAATTTGGCAATTTTCTAGAATTTGTTGCGATGGGCTCATGATCTATATTTTACTTTTTATGTCAGTTTTGTCGATAGAATACAACCGTATCATAATATTCAAGGAACCCATACCAGACAGAGTGCTTCCAGATCACGTGATTAGAACTGAAAAGGTACTCAATGAAGGAGGCTGCAGGGTGAAATGTTTTTTGGAACCAAAATGCGTGTCTATTAACGTGGGTCCTGGAGGTGCTCATACAAGAACATGCGAACTTAACAATGCCACTGACGAGAGCCCTTCACTGCTCAAAAAGAAGGAACATTACATTCACTTTGCTATTGAGGTATGTTAAAACTAGCTTTTGGTTCGTACGTACTGAATGATGACGATAACGATTCAGGGCATATATGTAATAATGATGATGATGATGATGATGATGATGATGATGGTGGTGATAATGATGATGACCATATTGCTAATGGTGCTGCTGCTGATGATGAATGATGGTGACAATATTGATGACAATGATGGTGATAGAGGTGATGAAGATCATTATTATGGTTCTGATGATGATGATTTTTGGTTGTTGTTATGGATGCTAATGATGATGATAATGATGTTGACAATGCTGATGATAACAGATGTATCATAATTCTGTTCTTGGTATTGTTATTAATGATGATGACGATAGTTATGATTTTGATGATGATGTTGACGATGTGATGTTGAAAATAGTGATACAGTGGAACCCCGCCTTACGACCACCCCGTTTATAAGACCACCTCGTTATTACGGCCATATTCTTTCAAACCAAAAGTACAAAACATTGACTCATTTTATTATTTTAAAGACCCCGTTAATGCGACCACCTCGTTATTACGACCAGGATTTTATGGCCCAACGGTGGTCGTATTAACGGGGTTCCACTGTACCAAGAAGCGATCTAAATGAGATGTGCTGATAACCATGGTAATGGAGATTGTGACAGAGGTGCTGTAGGATATAGACTGTGGAACCCACGTTGCGGATTAACTTTTGAGATGTAGTATTGACGGAAAACTTGAAAAACAAATAATGCACATCAGATTTAAGGCTGCAAATTAATAAAACATCTAATGTGGTATCTTTTTAACTCAGAACTTTTGCCAAATTAACGATGATCCGTGCCCAGAAGAAAACGAGTTATGTGAAGTTGGGTTTACAGAAAAACGCTACAGATGTGTCTGTCGCGATGGGTTCAAGTTTGTGAACGACCAATGTACAGGTAATTCGCAGAAGCTAGATGCATAAAATAACTCATACTCTTCGCCAAAAGCCAAGTTTAAAGAGTGTTTTCACTCATGTGGCCAGCACCTATGCAAATTTATTGGAACAAAAGAAAGCGTTTGCATAAGAAAAGAGTTCAACTCCCAGAGGATTGGTTTGGGAAACCAACATGGCCGCCGTTTCACTGTTTTGGAACACCAATATGGCCGCCATGACGTCATGTGTAAAACACTCTATAGTTCATTGCGCCCTTGCAAATATAGAGTAATTGCACATGACGTCACGGCGGTTATATTAATGTTCGAAAACAATGAAACGGACCCGGTGCTCACTTTAGTGCCCGACTACAAGGTCTCGATCTGATACTCGGGCACCGGCACCGTGCCCAAATTCTAGCGCGGGTACTTAACAAAAGGTGCGTTCACATTAGGGCCCAGCGAGTATCGTACTCGGGAACCAGTGCCCGGGAACCAAGTGTGAACGCACCCTTAGTCTGTTAATCAGGCTCAGATATTGGCCACTTTGAGACTGATTTCGCAAGAGACTGGGTCGGGGTTGTGTCGAACTGCATTGAGGGAGCGTCTTGGGGGACGAATTTTTACCCACACTCCTGTGCGAGCTTGCAAAAGTCAAGAGGAAACATCACTGTTTACAGACAACGAGTGAAACAAAAGAACTTCCCGCTTTTGTTAGAAGAACTAATGCGCTTCTGTTGGGCACATTTAAAATATCAATAGGTGACGTTAGCGTGAGTATCGCTACAGAACTATTGAAGGGGCGATAGTGTCCCACAATGCAATTGAACACAACAGCGAAACAGACTCTTGGGCAAACTCACAATAGCCACTGATACAAATTACGATGGATTGACTCTTATTTTCTGTAGATCTAAAAATAGTTTTTCTACTTCATTTTTATATCGCCATCCTTGTTCAATGTTGACAGATATTGATGAATGCGATGAGGAATTGCACGACTGCAAGCTAGGTATGCCGGGGGGCATGAAATGCATAAATGAGCCTGGTTCGTTTCGTTGTGAATGTCTCCCCGGTTTTGTTAAAGAAGGTACTATCTGTAAAGGTCAGTATTTTAAGGGGAATATTCTAACAGCTCCGATGCCTTCTTAAAACTAATGACCGAGCGCGTAGGGCGAGGTTATGATTGATTTTTTAAGAAGGGCATTATCCGGTTTAGTGGACCTTTCTATTGTTTTAGAACCAGCAAGTCATTACTATGGCCTCTGAAATGGAACAGTAGGTTATTATTCCTAATTGTTCCACCTGTCTTCCGTGACCAGCTCCTTCGATCCATTAGTTGAAAATAAAAACCTTTTCAAACAATGGAAAGGTGCATTAAACATACCATGTTGAATGATTCAATAACCTTTTTATTATTCATGATAACTACTCCCAGACTCACAACGTTATTACTTTTGAGTATAAATTTTTGGCATCATTTTTAGTTCCTACGTAGTTTAGAGAACGAATGGATGTTTTGTTTTAAAAGTTACCCTCACAGAGCGTCACCATTTACATATTTTTGCGTGTTGTTCAGACGTTGACGAATGTGTGTCCTCCAGCTTCAATAACTGTTCACTTAACGAGAAATGTGTGAATGAACATGGATCATTCCGTTGTGAGTGCATTGTTATTGGACAGTGTAAAGGTCAGTGAATATTACTAGAGGTCGCTAATCAGATAACTTGTAACAAGGCTTTGTGTAACATGCATCTTTCTGTTTACTGTGCGTTATTAGGGAGCTGAAGAACCACATGATGGGGACCCCGGTCTAAAACGACAACGTCAAAAAACAAAAGAAACCAACTCCACTAGACCGGGGTCCCCCACTCCATGTAAACAGGCCCTAAGAAACCGCGATGACGGCGAAAACGACAACGTCAAAAACCAATTGTTTTTATGAGCAAAACAACAGCTTTGCACGTGCATCACACTTTTTTAGTACATTTCTTTGACGTTACGCCTTCTATATGAAAACAAACAAACAAACAAACACGTGAACGATTGGCAATTTTCATCAGCTTTTCCCTCCCTAAGAGACAAAGAAAAAGACTTCTTTCTTACATTCAGTCAATCGCCGAGTATCGCGTGACTGTAAATGGATAAGGATAGGGTTTTTCTTTCTTTCTTTTTTTCTTTTGCTTTAATTACACTCATGTAACTGCCATACTGTCCATAAACATATTTTCTTTTAATCACTAATTTATATGGTTTCAATTTTTCAGTGAGAATGGATTCAGTTATAATATCCAATAATGGGATGTATCTGTACATGCTCGATCGATTCCTTACTCCTGTCGTTGGAGGAAGTTCTCAGTGGAATCTGTGTTATCGACGCTCTATTCATACCCAATACGACTTCAAATTTCATCAGAGGTGCGACGGAAAGAAAAACACGCTTACGATAATAAAAAAGAATGAGTTCGTGTTTGGAGGTTTTACTGACATTCCATGGGGTAGGTAGTTATTTTCAATTTCTTGGACTTAGCCTCATCAAGGATACTAGTTTTAACAGGGTGCGTTTTTCCCTTTACAGCGTAAGCGACGGTAAAAGCAGCAACAAAAACGAGCAACTTGTTTCGCGACATTGCTATAAAACGAGTTGAAACGGGATGTTGCGCGTTTTTAATTACCACTCACGAATCAAAACTGTCTTGTAAAGAAGATAAGTTAAAAATTCGTGCGTTTACAGTTCTGTTCATACAGAACAACAATTAACCTTGACCGTACGAAAATTTAGACCCCTATCCCTTCAAGGTTCGGTGTTGACCGAGCGAAAATGTCGAACGGTCCTGTGCCAGTGGACGAATTGCCCGGTCAGATTTTTTAGCTGGTCGAAAATTCGTTCGGTGCCGAGCAGCCTTACAACCGAGCAGCCTTGCAGCCTTACAAGACAAATATTCGGATCATTATACCTTTCCTGGAAACTGCCCACCTACCTCTCCCCTAAGCCAACATTTTGCCTCAAGTGAGAAGTAAGTGTTAATGTTGGCTTAGGGGAGGGGTAGGTGGGCAGTTTCCCAGAAACGAATAATGAATTTTGTATGGTATACAGTTTCATTGCAATTGTAAAGTTATTATTTATTGGTAACTGTTGCAAACAGCCGTTTTTGGGGATATTGCTGTTAAAAGTAACAATTTCCCTCTTTTAAATTTAAAAAAGGTGTTTTCTTTGCTATTTCTCTCTCTCTCTATCTTTCCACTGCAGCCGGTGCGGATTTTGTATACAGAGAAACAACCAAGGCTTTCATCTTCTCTCTTCGAAATAAAGAGCAACTTGGGCCCTTCAAGAGCATGGTAAAAGAACCATCAAACGCAATTTATAATCACATGTACAGGGGACCGACATTTGGCAGGACAGATATTCGTATCGACACTACTCATAAACTAGTGGATTCGTCATCGTCACATCTGGGAACGTCTTATTCTGCACCAAATGAAGTCAAAGACAACAGCACCATCCTGGCCGGTGCTAACAGGTTCGATCCGGATGAACTGGAGGTGTTTTATCTCCAATGATTGTTAAAAGACAGTGAGAGAAGCAGCGTGGCCGAGCAATCAGCCGAGGTCTGTTGTTCCAGTTCCGCTCCGGAGGACTCGAAGGCTCCAGTTCAACTCTTCGGCCATGCTTCGTTTGCCGAGCAGTCTGAGTCTAGATCTCGGTGTTCCAGTTCCGCTCCTGGGGACCCGAAGGCTCGAGTTAAACCCTTAATTCGGCCATGCCTCGTTTGTCGGGCTTGTAAATACCCAACTGGTTTGCCTACTACCAGTTGCAGTTTTGAATTGTTTGATTCTGGTTTTGTACAATTACTTGACCGCAGTGCATGTAAACATAAGACACAAATGCCCAGGGAAACGAAGGGTGGCGGAGATCATTTTCTTATTGGGGAGCTTGAGCAACGAAAACGGCGACGGCAGTCAAAACAGCAAAAATTCAAAAGGTTAAGATTAGCAAAACAACAACTTTGCACGCGCATCACGATTTTTTGTACATTTCTTAGCCGTTGTTGTACGACTACGACGTACCTTCTCTGGAGAACGCGTGAACAGATGAGAACGATCTTCTTTTTTCTTCTTTTTCTTTTTCCTAACTTAGTCAGTCGCTTAGAATTTCAAACCCACAAAAAAATTTCATTCATTTGAAAAAATTTAACGAGAAGGAACGAGATAAGTAAAGCTAGAAACGGCACGAATTCGTTTTTCAAGTGACGTTTTCGCTGCCGTTGACGTCGTGTATGCTAAAGCTCTCTATTTTGCCTACCAAAAACTTACTGGTTTGCTTGGTTTCCCTTTCCTGAACAGGGTGTATATACAATTGGGTATATAAGCGAGCTTTTCCTAAACAGAGTGTTAAAGCCGGCCAGAGTGTCGTTCAAAGGTAGTAGGAAGATTTGTCCTCTAGTGCTTAAGTGCTCTATAATACGTCACAGTGTACCCTGGGTTCCAGAGGTTATTTTTTTAAGGACAGTTTATTTCATCTTAGGTATTTTGAGAACGAACCTCTGGAGCCAGGGTAGTCACAGTGGAAAGTTTCTCGTTGTAGTTGTACAGTGACGGCGAAGAAATGTATAAAAAAGCATGATGCACGTGAAGAATTGTTGTTTTGGTCATTAGATCCTATTCCCTTTTTGATCGACTTTCCCTTTGCCGTCGCCGACGTACTTGCTTAAACTCCCCATTAGTGAAACGTACCGGTGGTTGTATTATCTCGTTGGGGTAAATGGAAAATGTGAAAACAAAACTTTTTCAAGTATTTGCCATACAACATAGTAAAAATACAAAAAATAAAAGATAACCAGAAATAGGGAAGTGGCCAGGAGACTATAGGACGCTTATGAGAGAAACTTCGTGTACCCATCATTTAAATCTTAGAATGTGCCAGGAAATTATGCTGAGTAGTTTTTAATGAAACGCGATTAAGCGCACTCCGAAAGTCATTTGCGTCTAAGGTTATTGTTTAATAATGACCGCGGACCTAAATACTAGACTTTCTGAAAATGATTTAAATACCTAAGAAACCTCTTTACAATCGTTATAGTTTTTAAAAGCGACAGCAATAAATAATAAACAACTGGTGTTCACATACACTACGCAATTCATGAACGCAATTTAGAATACCGTTTTGGAATTTAAATTTATTTGTAAACCATTCTCCTTCCAAAGAGCACGGAAATAGAAAGAGACATGTTTTTTCCACTATCTCTACATATTCTGGGGGTCTTCTTGTTTTCAGGTGAACAACTCCAAGCTCTGTCCGAGGGTGGGTATACCATTAATTTTATTCGCGTAGACTGCCACCGAAGAAGTTCAATTTGATGTGGTCTTTTTGTTGTGGCCTGGTATACTTGAAAAATACTATTTCGTTCAAATTGACAATTACAGTACGGGACACACGGACATTAGATGTCTGTGCATGCAGGATTTTGTAATTTAGCTTCTTATAAAGTATGTATGCCATCCCGCCTAGACGTGTAAAGCAAAGGCACCTTTTCTTTCTCAAGAACAGTTTTTGTCGCAAACGTTCACAAGCTAAATGACAGAAATTTTCGCGGAGCTCTCGCGTTTGCGCGCGCAGCGGAGAACCATGGGTAAGAAAATCTGGTCATCTATGCATCCAAGAAATTTCGGTTCTGACAAAATCGTCCATCCATACGTAAACCCACCCCTTCAAGTAAGTTGGGGTGAAATCTGCATTTCAAGCACCCCGCGCGTTTCTGCGGTAAATCGCAAGGCCATCCGGACTTTTAGAGAGAAAAAAAAAAAAACAAAAACAAAGCCGAGTCTTTCTTTCGACTAAATTTTAACGTCTACATTAACCTGGGTAACAGAGAAACAGCTAACAAAGGAAATAAATAAAAAACATCGCGGACCAATTTCGTTGGAAGAAAAACTTGAAAATTTTATAGCGGCGGTGAGAAAACGAGAAATGCTAGCAGCCACACTGCACCAAGGTGAAAATGAGCGGCAGTGAAAAAAGAAAGTGAACAGGAACACATGCATACAACATTACCTCCATAAAACGTGTAATTAGGAAGTTTCCGGAAGTTTCACGTTGTAGTCGTGGAAAACAACGGCAAAGAAATGCACAAAAAAGTGTGCTGCACGTGCAAAGTTTTTTTTTTGGCTAATTAGAGAAGAGAGTGTGTCGCACGTGCAAAGTTGTTTTTTTGCTAATTAGACCTATTGTTGTTGTTTTTTTACCGCTCGCGTTGTCTTCACCGCTTCTTTAGCATAACACAATTTCATTTTTGAAGTATAAACATTAAAGAGAGCTTCGCTTTCAGCCCTGGTTAAATCTATGTATCACTATAACATTTTGGAACGCTCAGTTTTGTAGTCTGAGACTTGCTTTTTAAGTCCATTCTTTCAGTTTTCGGGAGTCTGAGGCAACCACTGAGGCAACCACATAATTTGTAAATTTCCGTTTTTACAATTTTTGAACAAAACAACAGTTAGCTCCCACGAGTTTCCTGCAGCTGATAAGTGGTTGAGCATTCTTCTAAACTAGTAGACGGTAAGGTCGTAAGTTCGACTCCTGTCTCGAGATCTCGGACCTTTTTCTTCCGAAATTGAAATACAGTAAAACGCCGTTTTACAGACACCCGCTTAATACAAACACTTCGTTATTACGCGGACAGTTTGTTTTGTCCCTGGGGAAAGAAAGCCCTTACTGTTTTCTCTTAATTCAACCTGCTTAATAAGGACACTTTCTATGTCCCTCAGTGTCCGTATTAAGCGGTGTTTGACTGCACATTATTTCGCAAAATTTGTAATTAATAGACCTTTACTGGTGTTTCCCTCAAATTTCGTCTCATTCACGCGTGTTTGTAGGTATAATTTATGGACAGACAAAGAAAAAATCCCTTCAGAGGGTTGCATGCCTTTCAAAGGGAAAACAAAACATGTAATGCAAGTATAGTCGAAAGCTATTATGTAGTGCAATAAGCAGCTAATCTGAGTCTTTTATTGATTATTAGATTTAGGTATTAGGAGTGTACATGTAATGTAATTCATTATATGGCTACAATAGTATGCACGCTCTGATTGGCAGCTAGGCTGGCAAGATTTTCTTCTAATGACCGGGCATTAATAGCTAGGTTTCCATGGCATATACCATCTGTGTTTAATGGTATGTAATGCGACGGAACTTTTAACCCATTTTATTGTGTTTTTAAAATGCCAGTCTTCAAAAATATGATTTAACAGTGCAAAAGAGAGAATGACTTCGCCCACTTTTGTGATCATTTCAGATTCATGTCGTGAACTGACATTCCCAAGTTTTCTTTTCTTTAATGGCAAGCGCCTGCTAAACCACACCATAAAAACTTTACAAGTTCGAGATCTGGATGAGTGCGAGTTGCAGTGTTACTACGAACATGATTGTGTCAGCATTAATTTTAAAAATGAAGCTAGCAAAACTGATGGAAAACACACATGTGAGCTGAACAATTCCACGCATGATTCAAAGGAGCAGGATTTGGTGGAAGTAAAGCATTACTTTCATCGTGGAACAAAAGTAAGATCATAACATATACAACAAAAAGAAATTTTTTTTCCAAGAACCTCTTCTCCTGCCCCACTGGAAATTCCAGTAAAGTTTTGCTATAGGCCTACATTTCTGTAATATTATTTTTTGTCTTAAAGATCCCCTCCTCCCCCTGGAAATATATAATCTGTTCAGTGGGGGGAGGGGAGGAGTGTAGAGATTTGTATAAACCTTTTTAAAATACGTACTCTTGAGTTGCCATTAAAGTTAAGTTACTAATGATGTCTAACCCTGAACCCAAACAGTAGCTAACAGTACTGAAACAATTGAAACACCTTTGTCATTGTTTTCTGCGATACACAACTGTTCCAGAACTAAGAAACTGGGTAAATCTTTTAACTTTTAAGCTACTTACCCTAAAAAATGTTCTCATTTTCTTTTAAAACTTGTAAGAATCCGTGCAGCAAATTCCCTTGCAAAACTGCCGTGGAATGTCAACCAGTATTTACCACGAAAAGCTCCACTTCCTTCTGTCCATTGGAGTCAACTACGGGCAATTTTACAAGTGGTAAGCGCAATACCTTAATATAAACCTGTAATTCTACAAAATAAGAAAACCTTTCATCCTAGGATAAATACAAACGGAATATCAATGAACTTACGTTGTAATAATCAGCTGAATATGGCCGCCATTTTAAATCAACATCCGCGGTCAGCTGGTGAGAAGGTGAGAGGTATGGAACGAAAATTTGGTCTAGGGGACTGGGGAAAGGTCGAGGGGAGACTCTTAGGGGAGGGTCTGGGATTTCTGGTTACTCTAAGATCGTGATCCCACGCGCACTTTGCGAATAATAATAATAATACTGATAATAATTGTAGTGATGATGATGATGATGATGATAATTTCTTCGCAGAGATGACGATGGATTCAGTCATAATAGCCGAAAATGGGTTTTATTTGTGCCATCTGAAGCAATTCCTAACTCCCGCCGTTGGAAGTATCTCTCACTGGAAAATATGCTATCGTGCCTCCAAGCATGGTAGATACGACTTCATATTTCATCAGAGGTGTAACGGGAAAAATAACACGCTTACTATAATCAAAAAGGATGAATATGTATTTGGTGGATTCACTGATATTTCATGGGGTAATAACTTTACATTTTGTTACTAAAAACTTAAAAGAATGTTTTTGTTTTTTTCATATTTTTTTTTGTGGAAAAGAAAAGAAACATGTTTACTTCGTGACGAAAGACAACCGTAGGAATTTCCTCTGCTTTTAAAAGTGAGTCTTATCAAAAGAAGAACATGGAATTTGTTTGCCAAATCATAGTAATGTTGTTTGGTCCGTCCATATCCCGTAACAGAGCCTCCTTTGTCCCCCAGGATTCCACACGTTGTAGATTCGGGATTCGGATCCTTATACATAACGGGAATCTGTCCACCTACCCCTCCCCCAAGCCAACATTAACACTTACTTCTCACTTAGGGCAAAATGTTGGCTTATGGGATGGGTAGGTGGGAAGGTTCCCAGAAACGTATAATGATCCCGGGATTCCAGGTACTTGATTCCGGATTCCTTGTCAGTGGAAAATAAATCCCGGATCCCAGAGTCCAGGATTCCGGATACAACAAGAAAAAATTCTCGGATTCCGGGATCCACAAGCAAGATTTCCCAGATTCTATAATTCCTGATTACCTTACATGGGTCATGGGGTGACCTTTTAATCATTGCTGGGTCTGTCTATATTCTGTAACCATGGTAACATAGTTCTCTTCTCTCAGAGTAATTGATGGCGTTTCGAAAGGTGTTAAAAAGATCCTTTGGTGTGACCATTCAAATGAAACCTCTTTAGCAGTGCTTTCACGTGGAACTATTTCTTTAGAAGCATTTCACAAAATGAAATTTGGAGATTTTGTTCAAAAGTTTTGACTTTTGTTTCTCTGGAGAGTGAGAAGCTTAAGTCAGAAACCTAATTTTCTTGCTTCTTTTTACCCTCTTTTTCAGAGCGTACTGAACGTTACAGGGAAACATCTAACGCGTTCATTTTCTCTCTTCGGAATAACGAGCAACTTGGGCCCTTCAAGAGCATGGTTAAAGAATCATCACACGCAATTTATAACTGGAAATACACGGGACCGGCATTTGGGAAAACGGATATCCGCATTAATTACACTCCCCGAGGGAGAACATCTTCCTCCCACTTAGGGACTTCCTACTGTGCGCCTAGTGAAGTTAAAAACCCCAGCACTGTCTTGGCAGGTACAACCAAGTTCGATCCAGATGAAGTGGAGGTGTTTTTCCTTAAAACACTGAATTAAGCAGCCTCGTCTCCAAGGCAGTTCGCGCTATTAGTGAGCGAACGAGGCTTAGAACAGAGCGCGTGACATCCTGGGCTAATTCTCTTGACAAGCTTGACAGGTGACGTCACATCCGATACAGCTTGGCCGAGTCCGGAGTGGCTGGTGATGGGTAAAAGTGGGAATTTTCATTAAATGTTTTGGGAAATAAAATAAACGCCAAACGCCCATCTATGCTGTTTGTTGTTTATTTGTTTGCTTTTTAAAATGGTTAACTGAGCTTTTCTCTGGCCAGGAAACTTTCCTGCAATAGACTTCCTTTCAAAGCAGAGGTTTCTTTTTTAAATACCCATTACGCCGTCCTCTCGTAGGAAGACACTTAGGCCTCATGGCACGGCCGATCCGTTTCGGGTCACATGGTTTGAGAGGGTTCGCTATGGCACCGAAAATGCCTGGCAAGATGCCGCCTTGGTACAGGGGCTAGGCAAGGAGGAAGCTATAGATAAGTTACCTCTTACAGCAAACAACTGTTGCTAACTGTGGACTGTGCAGCCAGAATTTGAGGTTCTTTTTGACGAGGGTATGGTAGGAAATTCCAAAATGGTCAAAAATTGTGTGATGTCACGAGCCACTAATTGACCTTTTCTATTCCTGTCGCCTAAAGAAAAACTCCTACTTGAGAAACCGTGAGTGAAATTGTCGACGACATCACTTCATTCACGTACATTATTTATTGGAATCAAGTTGTTCGGTTCGTGATTATATTTAGGTCTTCTTCATTGACGAATTTTCTAGATATGACAGATTTTTGGTTGAAGCTCAACTATTTCGCGATGCGTTGCTTGCACTTAACAAATCAATGATTCTTTCTTTCTTTCTTTCTTCTTTTTTTAAATTCATAGTTGATAACTAAGTTCTTCTTGAGTTTCATTTATTGCTTTTTTAATTGCTTCTTTGCATTAATTTTTCTACATTGTTTGCGAAAAGAAACATCTCTCCACACAGGAAACAAATGTCCTTTTTCTGTATCAAAGATTCAAGGAGTTGGTGACATGTGCAGAGCGGAATCCGCAAGTATAAAACGTCATTTCTTTTCCGAGAGGGAATAAATTTGTTATTTGATAGGATAAATATGATAATGCCCCTTGACATAAGATCGCCAAGGTCACATTATTAGTTGTTCTCTTCAATAATATGCAAAACCAGACATATTTCATTGCGTTCCACTTGGCAAACAGTGCGTATCATAGGTGGAATGACTCCAGTTCTCTCGAAATTCAGCCGCGATACCTACTAAGTTCTACTCTAATTACCGAGCTGGATTTTTGGATAGGCAAGTCAATGCAATTAATTGGCCAGTGTTTTTATGGAGAGGGGAAGTCGGTAAATTTGATATTATCCGTAATTGTATAAACATTTGCAGACACGACTTAATTGGAGAGGAAAGTTGGCTCAGTTGGAGAGTCTTGGCTTATCCGTGCGCGGTTTTTACTTTCAATCCAGCGAGTAAACTAAAGTGGAGTTCGAAAGACAACCAAAGGATCTTTGTCCAAATCTGCTTATGTCCTGGAGATCAAAGGAACAGTCTATCGATATAAGTTTTGGAAAGACCAATATAGGAAATTACCATCTTGAAGTGAAGCAACACAACTTAAATTGAGAAGGTTAAACGTCACAACATCATTCTTGCTTCCATTTTACGCCGTGGACTGAGAATTCATAACGGCCGAAGCTTCAAGTTTCTTAATTTGTATGGCTCAAAAAGTTCGTCATACGTCGCTCCAAATGGATATTCCAACTATAAAATTCAATTCTAGAACACCGTCCTCTTCGCCTGCCTTGGGCCCACGATCAGCTCCGTTGATCAGACAGAGGTCGCGTTCCCTGTGCGGTCTCGACGAGGTACATGATCAAAACAGCACTCCTAAGCGAAATAAAAAATGTAAGTTCTGCCATCATTATTTTCTGCCTTTTGTAGACGATGCAGTATACTTGTTTGTTTGTTTGTTTGTACTGTCATTGTTTGTTATGTACTATTATTGTATTTTTTTTTAACTCGACAATGTTCATTGACAACGTTCGTTGGTCGAGTATGTTTTATTGTCACTGAGGGAAAACCCAGTCCGCGATTAGTAGACAGGTCTCTTTTCCGTCGATAGCCTGCGTAGCAGGCGCTTGAACTCAATGGCAGTCTCAATGGGGGCATGTCTCCTTCGAGGCCCCGTTCTTTCAAATCCCAAGCGCCTGCCACGCACGTCGAAAATAAACATGGTCTAGTACCAAAATAATACTTTTTATGTCACCTAGGACTTAAGGAAATGTAGTTAGAGATTAAACGAGTTAACACGTAAAAATAGTTATTCTGGCCAAAAATTTCCATCGCCGAAGCATTATAGCCTTTCGGTATGCAGGGACAGCCGAGTCTCCTCAGCAGCCGTTCGTCGCTGGAGTCACGCAATGCTCCCTGCCCCCGCTCTTGAGTGACAATCTCTTTTAACGTGCCTCTGAACAGGGTATTTTTATCCTCAAAAGCCCTCCAAAATGGGTTCTGGAAAAAATTTCCCTAAACGAGGTTCTAGAAATGGGCCAATTTTTAGCAGAATTCGCCCCAAAACTGATTCGTCGCTGGGCCAATGTTTTATACTCAGTTCTAGGATGCAACAAGCAATGCATTGAACCGTATTTTTAAAAGCCCCCTGTCCTTGAATACTTTCAAATGGCTGCCAACAAAATGGAGCCTTCTTTAACGTTCTAGCCTCTGAACATGGATACCCCGTTCTAAATGGTTTTCATAAGAAGGTTGGTATGATGTATGGAGGTTTTATATTGGTACAGAAATAAGGTTTCACTATTTAGTGTTTCTCTTTCGACTGGAAGCCTTTTTTAAGGCTTGGCAATGAGAGCCCGAAAGTTTCATTTCTAAAGAAAAGGAATAAGCGTCAGAAAATAAACAGTCGAAAACAGGGTCAGGGCCCCTGTGGCAAACCACTACCTACACTTTCTTTATGCCCCCTCCCCCCCTTCCCTGCCCCCTATCCCCTTTAACACAGGGGACCTGTTCCTTTCCGCCATCTTTTTTTAGCCTCGATTTGAAATTACCGAGCTGAATTGTGGGAAGATAGATGGTAAACACTCCACTTGCTTTTTGAATATTTTCGTACCGATTTTCTTTGTTTGGCAAATGAAGGTCGTTAGAATGTCTGCTGCGTAATCGGATTTTGAAAAATCGCTTTTTAAATCTCTCTTGATGACCTCTAAAACCTACATTATCAATCGAGAAATAGACCTGGGGAAACGAATTTTGCTGGCGAGGACATTTCGCCATCAGTGTGATGTATTAACATTTCGAAAGCGTCTTCGAATTCTCCGCGAAGACACGTTAAAGGTAAGGCAAATTGATTCAGTTCTTGCTGAGGCAGGCTTTTACGTTGATATAAGGCTTGTGTAGTTGTAAATTTAATCACAAAAACGAATAATTTAAAGGTTTGAGTTTTTGGTTTTTGTCACGTGCGCGTACCTCCTGCTCACTCAAAATTAAACCTAAGAGACGTAGAAATAATGTCAGGTTTTTACCAAAAGCGAATTTTAACCAATACTAATTTTCTTTATCTTGCGTAACTATCGATTTAGCACTTTGCTGTGAATAAAAAGCCGGTTCTTGTATACAAATTCCTGCTTGAACGTGACCGCGGAGGTCACCTTGAATACGAGACCGGCTTTAGCTCGGTGATAGACAGCCCATCGATCGATACTCAGCTGAGATCATTTCGTCACAAGTTATCATTTATTCATGATTTCAGCAAGACGACGAATAGTTTCGGCTTTATAATTTATTTCAATCAATTACGTTGTTGATGTCGATGGAAAGCGTAGTTCATCGAATTAAGTCGTGCAGAACTGGCGCATGTCGTCAATACATTTAACTCGCTGGTCGCTCGTCCATAAATGCAGGTAAATACAACAAACGTTGCCTCTTATCTCTAAGTCTTTTTATTTTATTCAACGTTTTCCTTTTTGTTTCGCTCGTGAAGATTGATTCTTCGATATAGACAAGAAACGACGCGGTTAACAAGCGTATTTTTTTGCCTTTCGTAAGCCTTATTATGCTCTCAAATGGTTTCTTATTTTCAACGCAATGGTGCGTGACGGTAAACATATTCGGTTTATTCAACTGAAAAATGCATCGACTTTAAGTTTTCTGTTATATATGTATTTCGTTGAGCCACTATTTTTGACATTCGAAGAAATTTTGTACATAAAAATGTAGTAGATGTGGATTCAGACGTCATCTTATATTTTGCACGGCTGAGTCAACTTTGTTTGAACTCATGCATTATCTCGGAAAATGTAAGCTTATATACAAAAAAGGGAAAAATAAGTTATATGTAAGCTTATAAAAATCTTATCATCATTTTTCTTTCCATCATTTCTCCATGTGAACGTGTAGGAGTAAATGGCATTATTAACCAGAGAGGTGATTTAAATATTTTTACTGCAAATATGGCAACACCTGTTTAATAGCCTAAAATAAATGCATGACTCTGGTTTGTGAAGTGTTTTGCTTTGTGCAGCCGCTGTAAATTAACTCCTATTGTCGAAAAAAAAAAAAAAAGATTCTTTATTATAATATGCTGTAAAGCATATTCTCTCACGTGGCCAGCATCCATGCAAACTTATGGAACAAAAGAATTTTCTTACATAAGAAAAGAGTCTAACTCCCACAGGATTTGTTTGGAACACCAATATGGCTGTCATAACATCATGTGATTACACTCTATAAAACTTTGTTATTACAAAATGCACTGACTCGAGTAAGGTTTTACATAATGTGTTGATCAAACACAGACACTTCCAGCTATGACATTTTGAATGCTGAATCCCTTGGAATTTTGTTGTAAAACGGAGTTAGCAACTTGAGCAGACACCATTTCAAATGCTTGATAGAGGAAGGTCTATTTAACAAATAGATTCCGTGTTGACGTGCATCTGTTCAGTAAGAGATCACAGACTATGTCAAAATGTGGTAATAAAAACAAAGAAGTGGCACACGAGCTGCAGACGAGTGTGTCAGTGATGTTTTTACTACATTTTGACATCTTCTGTGATCTATTACTGAACAGACCCACAGCAACATGGAATCTATTTGTTTTGTATAGAATGCTCCAAACAGTATTAAGACCGATACGCATAGTACCTGCATTGTACTGATGACTGTTCATGGATTTGCTTTTAGGTCCCAAATGCTACTTTTTGTCTTCGCTTGTTCTTTTCTTCTTGATCTTACTTGTACACAGTTTCTTTGAAAAGTTTTTCAACGTCTTCACTTGCTCAAAGCATAAAAATGTTGAAAATGTTTTGAAAAACAGCGAGTCTCTCTTAGTGATGACACACAATGGCAACTGTTGTGAAGATTTCTTGTTGTTTAGGCATTCTCAGGTTGTCAAGAACTCTTTTTGTCTCCATTTCTTTATTTTTCTTCTTTGTAAACAGCCCCTTCTAAACTTTTTCCCAGCCTTTCACTTGTTAATTAATCCGAAATTATGTCACAAATATTTTCAAAACCGCACACCATGTTGAGCAAAACAAAGAAAACAAGTTTGTTTCTTTTGATGTCATCCATTGTATCTGTACTCTAGTAGATCATGGGCAACACCGATCACCAATCATTCACATGGTTGTATAAATTACTAAATTATTTGCTTTTGTCATACATGTACATGTACAACAAAATCTCCAGTTTGATTGGGTGTTGACTAACCCCCTTTATAATGTCACTTTTATCATGAAGGAGATAGTGTAATAACACATGTTTGATATAATTTATTATTATAATTCTAACATGACTTAACATTTGTTGAGGTTTTTTTTGTGTGCTGAATTCTCTTCTGGGAATTGCCAGACAGTGGAGTTGTGAAAAATTTGCAATTTTGTCCCTAAAGCCTTCGAGTTATGCTAGAATTTTAGTATATTGAACATGGGCTGTTGGACAGCATGCACCATGCATAAGTATTTGGACAGTTTGTATAATATGGTGTCTGGTTGCTTTTGCCGCGGTAGACAGTTGGCTTAAATGTGTTCCTTCTTTCTTACATGTACATCAAAAAGCATGGAATTTTAATTAATGGTTCTAATGGTTCATTACACCTTTTGACATTTTATTATAACCTAATGCAGGGTTGCACATCCAACTTCCCAAGAGAAGTCCTAGATCACTGAACGGCAGTGCAACATCCTTGTCCTCTTTGGATGCTGTAGGCTCGCATTCTCCATCTTCCCCTCGCAGCAGCAAACCATTCAGTAAGTAAAAAATTAATGTTGCTGTAAATTATTATTATTATTATTATCATTACATTTGTATTATTATTATTATTATCCTTATTATCATTATCATTATTATTATTTAGTAAGGATCTGAGGTTAAAGAATCAAAAGCTTCAAGCAGGGTTTTCAATAAGAGCTGGTGGCCGGCGAAAATTCACTGACTATTTCACTTGAACTTGCCGCCAACTTTTCTTTGAAAATTATCCCAGTTTAAAAAGAGTATTCATGTGCTGTCAATTAATAGAAAAGCCAAAATTTAATAATGTATTTGTTCTGCTCAAACACTCTAATTTTTACTCCACAATGCTGGAAATGTATTCTAAGAAGCCCAGATTTTAAAATTTTTCCAGAAACTCATACCTTCAGCGCTCACAAGTCACACCTTTGCCGGAAGTTTTTCCTTCTCCACTGACTCGAAAGCTTTTGCCATCTACCTTAAATCTGATTGAAAACCCTGTCAAAGCTGCAAACAAGAATCAATCATTGGACAACATCTTTCAAAACTTTGCCAAGGCTCAAAGAGATACTGCCAGCAGAGGGAAATGAACACATCAAATTTTCCATCTGTTTGGTTAATTAAGACTTTCATTTCCAGACTTTCAAACCAGACTTTCATAGCAATTAAAGAAACATTATTGGTAGACATACACTGTAATGTATGTTTGACAATTTTTTTTTGTTTGTTTTATCAGACTTTAATATATGTACAGCTGTAATTCTAACCTGCAGTGGTAAGGTTTGCAGACATAAAGCTGGTTACGGTAGTTAATGTTTTTACAATCAGCAGGTTTTTTGAACCTATACTAAGTGGCTTGAGCCTTAATGATACATTCATAGGGAAATTTCGAAATTGAAGTCAGACTGATAAATTTTATTTTTTCAGCCATTCAAAAGTTATTTGGTAGGCATAAAGAGAATCATGGCGCACACAGTGGGAAGGAAGATTCAGAGGTAATTAGTTTTAAATTTCAAATCCTGTAAACTGCAGCTTACAAGTATAAACCCCCCAACTTATAAGCCTCCAGTCATAGGCCCAACTACCTGTAAACAATAAATTGTACATATGGGATGGAAGGGGGGGTTGACATGAAATTGTGATGAGGAGGAGTGGGAATACTGTCAAAGAGACTGTTTACACACAATTTTTCTGCTTACAGGTAGGGGGGGTGGATTGATACTAAATTTTGGTTTGGGGGGGATACTGCCAAAGAGGCTGTTTACAAATGTACCTCTACCTGTTAACAAATGGGGGGGTTGACATGAAATTGTGGTGGGGGAGGGGGAGTGGTAGTGGGAATACTGTCAAAGAAACTGTTTACAAATGTACCTCAAATGTAAGCAAAAAATTTCGTATGAGGTGGGGAGGGGTGCAGATTGGATGGGTTGATACTAAATTTTGGTGGGGGTGTTTCCAGTTTTTAAATCTTTAGAGGTTGGTCCATCTTTGAATTACTGCTAAGCATCTCAAAAATCAGTCTGGTTTTAAAGATCCTTATTGTGTAGAAAATTCGTACTGTTATATGAAAACAAAGAAAAAATATAATGATTTTTTTTTACACAGAGTGAAGATAACATTGCAAAGACAAAACTAAATGTGCCAGTAGAAAGACAGAAACAGTTCTCTAAAGTCCTGGCTGAGATAAGAGAAAGAGCAATGCCTTCGTCGTGAGTTTACATGATTGCACTTGATTTATACAAAACGTTATTGTTAGCACTGGGGGGCAGGAGGTGGGAGGAAAGGGGCTACTCAACAAATGTTTATAAGGAGAGTTTCCGCCTGATGTCCGACCCCTTACCCTTTTATACAATGTACACCATTTTTGACCGAAAAGGTACCCCTTTTGGATACCTCTTATTGACAAATGGTACCCCTTTCACATACTACATGTAGTTTAGAGCTCTAGTACATTGTGTAAATGTACATCCCCTTTAACTGCTGTAAAATGCACCTTCTTTTAATAAGGGCTGTGGTCCCTGACGCCCAACTTTTGCTCTGGGCACCCTGATTTTACAGGTGCAGAGCACTGGGCTCCGTTCAATTTTCCTTAGGGCTTGTTACTAATGGATATATATCACTAAGCAAGGATTACACTGTTTTTTTTTTAGTCTTTTTCACAGCCATTAAATGCACCTGTTAGCCCTTTTACATTATGTGGGTCATTATGTGAGTTTCTGGGTCATTCAAAGACCACAATGCATGGCAGATTTCCCTACCCTTTTATATACTTCGAGTTACATGTAACTCTCTCTTTTTGGGGGGGATTTAGCTTGGTCTCATCTCGATCTCATTTTCTTGGCTTTTAGTCTTGGGAGGCGTCGCAGCAAGACTCAGGAGCCACAATCAGCAGACTCTCGTTACAGTGGAGACAGTGACAGTGGGAGTCGGGCTCGAGGTGTCACCTCTGGAGTGTTTCCCGCCTCAGACCAACTTCCACGAGGGAGGAGTGCTACAGCACTGTCATTAAATGAGGACGATTCTGCTGACGTTGACTCTGTATGTGAATTTAAATTGGTGTTTGCTTTTCCTCCCATTTTGGCCCCATAACCATTACTTCATTCCCCTTCGGCTAGCGCCATATTTAGGCTAGTTACTAGTGCTGTTCTGTTTAAAAGTTGCTTTTCTAAGGCTGTTTTGTGTTGAGTTATCAGACATCAAATAGCTACAAAATACTATATATCTATATACATATGAAATTGAGAACTTAGTTGGACAAGGCAAATTTATGTTGAAAGATCTCAGTGAAAAATAATTTATATTCTTTGGCATAAAAAAGTGATGTTTCATTGTAATCGGTGGTTTTCTTACATGTACATGTATTTTGCAAAAAAGATATGGATAACTTTGGGAATTCAACTGTCGATGACAATCTTACATGTACATGTAGATTTTGCTGTTGTGTTCAGAAACTTGACAACATACACTGTAGGTGTGGTCACAATTATTTGGGATGATTGTGGATAGACATGATTGTATGAAAACAAGGCTTTATTATTTTGGGTGCATTGTACATTGTCCTAAATAAAAGCACAAGATCATCCGTGTGTTAAGCACATGACTGTCACTTGAGTTATCTTTTGATCCAGACTGCAACATTTAGTTTACGTTATTTTGGTAGTAAGTCACAGGTACTGCTAAAGATTTTAGGACTTAAATAAAAATTATGGATAATCTTCTTTGGATGACAAGACATCCTTTATGTGAATTATACAGAATAATGGATTTGTGATCTCCACACTCAAAGGGGTGCATGGTATGCAGTTAAGTCTTAGGTTCTTTTAAATTCTTCTTTTGGTTACATGTAACAAGGAAATATGAGGCAATCCAGTTTATCAAAATTTACTTTTGTATACGCCTTTTTTCTCACAAACTCCTCAGTTATTTTGTTTTTAAGTTGAATCATTGCCCTAACAGTTTTTCGATTTGTATTGAATTAATTCATGTTGAATAGGTAAAGTAGACATACTGCCAAGTACAATGAGTAAACAACATACAGTCATGTATGACTTGTTAAGAAGGTAAAGTTAACAAAGCATTAACTTAATTCTTCTTCCCTTAAAAGTTGGATGGAACATTTAGTTCTCTTGAAAAGGAGAGTGGAACAGATGAAGTTGATGCTGCGCAGTTTGACTCTGAGGTAATGTTTGGCACTAACCTCCTTCAGCGTGCAAAGAAAGTCTGGGGCTAGTGGATTTTACTATCAGGCTAGTGTTTTTTGTTCTTAACTTGCCCGACGGGCAAGTGCTGTTTTGGGGGGAAATTCAAATTACAGAAGGATTGTAATCAATCCTGCTAATGAAAAAGGGTTTTTGGGCTAGTTGAAATGACTTGTGGGCTAGCACATGCTAGCTACAGATTGCCCGAATGGCAGGCTGTGAAACTGAGTTTCTTTGCACCCTGCTCCTATCACTCACCATGCACACTGTACAGTGTATGTGGTATTTTGTATAAATTTGTATCCTCATTCCCTCACTAAAAATATGAGGCCCATTTTTTAGTTGAGTTGCTGACGTGTATGCAGTGCAGCCAAGCAGTTGTAAATACCAAAGTTGTCGTCAGTGTTTTCATAAAGTGTTTCTTTTTTTCTGTAGAAAAGGAGGCAAAGAATAGAGCACTTAAACCACAAGATCAAGAAAACTAAAGACCAAATCCGACAACTGCAAGAGGAAAGAGATGGTATGATCAACAGCAAAAAATCAATCATACATGTACTTGTTCTTTAACCTTTTCACTGCCAAATTTAGCCAAAAGCAAATTTCGACCAAATTTCCAAATTTCATTTTGTGAAGTTGTGTAAAACAAATAGCACCATGTGTAAGTATAGGCAGAGAGCTTTCATTTGAATGGTCACATCATAGGATTTGGTCCGCAGACTCAAAAGTTAGAGTCACCTTACAAAACTCCATCAAGCACTCTGGTGGTGAAGGGGTTATTGACCACTGAAAATCTCGATGAGTTTAGTTATTATTTTCACTTAGATTACTGCAATTTACAGCACAGTACCTCTTTTTCTTCTCAGTTTGAACCGATGAACTGAATGTAATGTTGCCCAATTTCTATTTATACATGTACTGTCTTTGTCTTCTGTTTTTGCCAGCTTGAGTGTATTTAGCCTCACTTACATGTAACTTAAGGTTTCTTGGAATCATTCTTAGTCTTAAGCCTGCAATGAAAAACAACCAAAAAATATTAATTAGTATAGGTAATAGCATGATTTGCAGTGATATTTGGCATAAATATCATGAGTGATATTTCGAAATTGTTATACGTAATTTCACGAGCCGTTAGGCGAGTGAAATTTGAGACAATTTTGAGACATCACAAGTGGTATTTATGCCAAATATCACGCACAAATCATGCTATTATTTGTTTATACTACTACCCACAAAAGGTTTGTAATTTTCACATGTAGGTATTTCAAATTAAGCTGAAATACCACTGCTCTAAACCCATTAAATTGCAGAAATTTCTCATGTAGTGGTATAAATGTAAGTAATAACTGCTTATGCCACAGTGAATTGTGAAGCGTACATGATTGCAGTGCGTTGGTGCGTTGAGTTAAAGAATGATCAAGCATTATATTTGTTGTTTTTTTGCAATTTCTGAAATTTTTACAGAGTTTGTAAAGGAGTACTTAGAATCAACTGAAGGGTCACAAAAATCAAAGTAAGTGAAAACTGAGTATTGTGGTGTGCGTAGCTCCGCATTCCATCCATGTATGCACTGTTCTTAAGTTGTTACATCTTTGTTATTATTGATTCTCTATATTCTTAATAACAAATTATTTGGGAGCTTCAGGTTATGCAACCACAACAGTGGCAATGGCAACGAAAGGACATTTTTGGTTATATCATTTCCGAAAAGGGAACTGGAGCTGAAATATGTCCCGCTATTGTTTCTGGGATTGTAACAGGGCGGTCAGCTATTGGCCATTTTTTCCCCTGTCTCTTGGCAAGTGACAGTCCCAGAATCCTTTTCAAAAGTAGCGAATTGTTTCCTTAGACAAAAAAGTTATCTGAACCCAAAACGGATACAGGCAAAATGAATCTGGGGTAGCCTGCCGATAGTTGAAGTTGGGAACAGTTTTCCTAGGCATCAACAGACGTCCTTATGTAGATTTTACATAACGTGAAACCTGAAAAAGAATTTATTGACAAAATTTAATAAATCAGAAGGAAAGACAATTAACGTTTTGTTTTATTTCTTTCATGCTTGCCTCGTCTCTTAGAACTCTGTTTGAAAAGAAGAATCAGAAAACAAATTCCCATATTGCACAGTTACAGAAAAAGCTGGAAAAGTGTCACAATACTTTGATGGTGAGTTTAACCATTTAGAGTGACTGTCAGCTTGAACTTCAAATTACACCGTGAATTACATGCTCTTACACTACTTTATACTCGATCACTTTTATCGCGCGCGCACCACGGGTAAGAAAATTTGGAATTGGTAACCTATGCATCCTAGAAATTTTAGTAGTCACGTGACCGTACTTCCGCCCGTCCGTCCGCACCACAGGCACACCAATATAAAATAACTCTATCAACAGGTGTGGCAGCCCAAACGCAACTCAAGGTTTCATTTGGTAGGAAATCGCATGACCGCCCGGACTTTTAGAAAGAAAAAACAACAATAAAGTCGTGTCTTTTTCGACGTTATTTTTGACGTTTACACTCACGTGGATAACAGAGAAAGAGCGAGAGCGAGTGACTGAAAACAAAGGCGACGAATTTCGTGGGAAGAAAAACATGAAAATCTCATAGCGGCGGTGAGAAAAAGAGAAATGCTAGCGGCGAGCAAGGTGAAAATGAGCGGCAGTGAAAAAATAAAAGCGAACATGAACACAGGAAACAAAATCTTTGGTAAGCACATACCGGTACGACAATTATACCATAAAAATATTTTGTAACTTTTTTGTAAAGTTTGATGTTTTAGTCGTGCAAAACGGCGTTGTAGTCGTGCAAAACAACGGCAAAGAAAGACAAAAAAGGGTGGTGCACGTGCAAATTTGTTTTTTTGCTAGCTAATTAGAAAAAAAGTGTGCTGCACGTGCAAATTTTGTTTTTTTGCTAATTAGATCTATTGATCTTGATGCCATTTTCATTGCCTTCCCCGTTTAGCATTACACGATTTTTTTTTTGAAAATAAACGCCCCCGCTTGGACCCCTAAAATTTAATAGACACCCCGAACGTTTATTGGGTCATTTACGGTGATTTTAGAGTGCTTTTTGTTAACCAGTGGATATCCTAAGGGTATCCATAGGGCTTTGCATTGACAGAGATCGGCTCTTCGGCTCAGAGGCCCGTTTCTCGAAAGTCCCGGTAACTTTTCGGGCCCGAAATCAAATATTCAAATTGAAATATAAAGAATAGGAGCGCCGGTCCTGGCTTTGTTTCATTAACTGATAGTTTAATCATGTTAGATGCAAAACTATTGAAACCTCAATCTTTAATGTTAACGGAGACAGCTTACAGGGCCCGTTAATTATCGGGACTTTCGAGAAACGGCCCCCAGACCCGAACTCACTGCCCCATATGAAAACGACATAGTTCGTTGTTGCCGAAGGCGAAAGGCTTCTGAGTTGTACATTCAGTCGCCCATCCTCGTGGGTGAACCCTGGGTACGAGGTTGTCAGGCTCACTTTCGCTGCGAAAGCATCGACATTTTTACATTCTTTATGTCGTGTATATGCGCTACAACTATCTCGGTCATAAGTAATGGGGCGGTTTAAAAGGCGGTTTTCAGTTACTGATGATAAACGAAGAACGTTGCCGGTAAATCGCTCGTCTTGCGTGGTATATCCCGTGGGTATATTGTCTTTACCCCAAACTTCGCTGTCTCTAGCAGGGGCTTCTGTGGCGAGCAGTCGAAATATGGATTGCAGTCTGTTCCAAAAAGTCGCCTTCAAAGGCGTTTTACGTTGAAAACCCAGCCATTATGTCAAGTATCGTGGTGAATTCGAAAATTAAATTGAATACTGTTGTTTATGATTCTGTTGTTTCTTACTTATTTTCGCTGAAACGTTATTTGTATTGTCTACGTCGAAGAAGTGTTAACTTCTGCTATGTCCTGCATTAAATACTCACATTAAAATTAGGAATTATAGCTCTTGGTAATCTTTTCGCTTAAAGTGAATCGCATACAGTTAAAAATCTTAAATGTTTACTCAAGTTTGGGCTAGGAGATAATGTCACAGTTTTTCAATGACCATGAAATTCAGTTTCCGGGTAGTTAGTTAATCAATTGTGGACCTGAAAAAATTTGAAGGAAAAAAAAACTACGAATTTTTAAGAAAATGCTTTTTTCGTGAGAAGGACTCTTAAACGCTGACAAACGTCAACAAATAGCGAAAACTATAATTTCTATATGTTTGCTTTGCTCGAAATCGCGCGCATTTACAAGGCCCTAAAGCTTTTGCTGACTTGCAAGGACCCATCTGTTATAACGATCCCCAAAATAAAGGGATAAGTCTCATAGTTTATTAGATATAATCGTGTACAGTTTGCTTATCATTTTCGCATAAATTATGAGTTAAATTTGGAAACCGCTGAATTTCTCGAATTGGGTCTTTGCGATTTTGGTGAAACTCTGTTCAGCGCAAGGCACTAATGCGCACTATGTGTAGCCGAGAGATTTTCACGAAAAAATGCCGGCAACAGCAGATTTTCGACTCAGACCTCAAAGGGGCGTGGCATTATAACCACGTGACATTTACTCCGATCGCCAAAAATTTTATGTTATATTGTAGATTGATCTATATGTTATCCATTCCGTGTTAGACTTACGATAAAAGTAAAGGTGGGGATACCGGAGAGCTTCAAAGTAGGATGGTACCCCCCCAAAAAAAAAAAAACTGGGTCGAGTCACCTTAAGCTTTCTATTAACACTCCAACCCGCCAAAAAAGAGCGTTACTATTTTACATTGCCGTCCTTGTTTTTGTTTTCTTCTAGGAGTTGGAAAACCCTGGATCAGCTCCCAGTGGACACATCGCCAAAGAAGTGTTCAAGTAAGCATTTGTAACATCATAAGCTCATGTGGTCTTAATCTTAATTTCCAGACTGCTGCTTGAATAAATTCTGCTCGTAAAATGGCATATTCTGCCTGCCGGCAGTGCTCGTGAAAATCTCTTATTCTGCTCAAAATTCTGCTCGGGCAACCTTAGTCTGCTCGTTTTTGTTTTCGCAAAAATAATGTAGAAGGGAGCCTGGGCCTAGCCCCTAAAAACTAATTAGATATTGATTATGCGTAGCAAAATTGTAATTCATCTTACTTTTAATGTGAGTGCGTTGTAGCTATTAAATAATTAAATTAATCACAATGTATTTTCCATTTGTTTTTTATTTAGTTTTAAATTTTTCTGTCAACTGATATTCATATTATTAGTGCCGCTGATTTTCCCTTATTTTGCTCATATTCTGCTCGAAAATGCCTTATTCTGACGGCAGAATGCTCGCCTAAAAAATCGCTTATTCTGCTCGAAATTCTGCTGGCAGAATTTATCCAAGCCTACTGCTTGGACTGAGGCTTTAAATGATATTTTAACCGTCTGTTTTTTTCTTTTACCCTAGGGGCGTCAAAGAAAATATCCGAGGAATTTCAGGGTGAGTCGTAGAATCGCTATCATCATTTGAGGATTCAGAGATTTAATGACGGTTCTAACTGGCACATGACTGTACGTGGGCAATTGCGATTAAAAACGAGTTATGACAAAATAATTCTTTTTCTCGTAAAAAAAAGATATATCCTTTTAGGTCTAAAATGTATAAAATCAGTGGCACTTAGTGATATCTTTAGGGACGTTTATCTTACATTCTCCCAAATAAGCCAAATAAAGTGTAAACGTTAGAGCTGAAAAACTCCCGCATGTGAAACTTTGCGCGTCACAGAATTGTATGGTAATCACATTGATTCCTGATTAATTTTTTTTACGCCTTAAAGCTTGCTATGGAAAAACACAAAGGAAGACAACGGCTATGATTTGTCTCGTTTTTGAGAAATGTTGAAATTCTGCTCACCAGGAGGCTCAAATCGAATATTTATTCTAATTCCAATAACTAATTACAAAACGTAATGTCAATCACCAATGTTTTGTGTTACTGGGAGAAATATAGTTTGGGTTTATTGTGAATCGAAATTCAATTATTTGGTGACCAATTTACGACTTGTTTTAATTCGCTACTACTAAAGTATCTTACAAACAAAAGAAGGCAGACTTGCTTGTTTTCTGCGCCTAGGATTATGCAAATGTCAAACTCCAAAAAAAACTCATCTATGTTGAATAATTCATTAATTCGATAGCTGACAAATATTACTTGTCTTTTGTTTTCATCGTCAAAAAATTGAATTGTTCGATTATGGAGTGCGGATTGTTTCATTCCTCATCTTCCGGTGAAAAGAGGATTTTCCGTTAATCCTGGCGATTTTTATATGGCAACGGTAAAACCGTCACGATCTTTACCGAAGATCTCTGTCAACGAAACGAATGGCGAGGGAATCGAAGTCCTACCGTCGGCTTTTTTAACTCCAAAGTGCGGACGAAATCTGCGGACAACTCTTCAGAAGCATAGATCGCTCTTTTGGCCGTAAGTTAAACTTGATGAGAAATTTATATTCAGCAAATTTCCCGTTTGGCTTATGTTAGGGTCTTTTTGGTTTTTTAACACTGAAGTAATCAGTTTTCACTTTGTGAGTGAATAGGGGCGTACTATAACTGGAAATTTCCATTAATAATGTAGTTACTAACAAGATTTTGCTCAAAATTCGATATAAAAGAAATAAGTTAGTGATTTTTTGGTCACACACACAATCATCGCTGGACTTTCGATGGAGTTCTAGAAGAAGACGTAAATAAAATGTCTCTCAATTCTGCTTTTTTTTAATTCCTAGCGATATTTTTGAAAGCATATGTACGTGATTTATTTTCCTGCAAAATTCTGAGCATTTCGGATCAGTCGGAGGGTATTATGAATATTATTCTTCGCAGCGTCAATATCGTCTGTTTCTGCAGCAGGCTAACTTTGTTGACATGCGTTAACGTTGTGTTTGCATAGGTAGTAGCCTGCGTTAACTTTCAATACATGTACCGTTCCGATGATCTATTAAATGCGTGAAAATTATCTATTTTTAAAATTATTGACCCTTATGAGGCATTAGGTGCGAATATCATCGTTAATTTAAACAATATCTATGCGCATTGTACTTTCTCTATAGTGAAGTAATGTTGAAAAGCTCAATCTTATCTTCCCTATGTGCAAATTTATCTCGGTACAATGTATCCGCTGGTTAGTCATGCACATTTCTGGCAGATTTTTGTTTTTCCTAGCAGGGTTCCAAAGAACGAAATAAAATATGTGTTGCTGTGGTGCGTGGTCTCTCGAAGTTATATTTCATTTCTATTATAATGAAGATGTTTCTTTGTTCCTGCAAAAGCGAAGACGTGATCTCATTTCTCTCGGCGTATGTCAATTTGCCTTGGAAACGCAGACCTTGACCGCTATCAACCATTAGTGGATTATATATAATATCAACGTTTTCCTAGTGCTTGATAAATGTTGTGTATTTTTTTTCTTTTTCCTCAGGGGTGTCAGAGATGGCGTTAAGGGGTGAGATTTTACTACTGATTTTCCTTTGTGACTAATGCCCCATACACTTTGAAGTTTAAAAGCTGTTCAGTTAAACACGGTTTTAATTTTTTTCCTTCAACAGCTGCTTACTGACTGTTATCGATGGCAAATTTAGCCTAATTCACAGAAAATGTTCAAATTAATTTGATTCCTGTATGAAAGCCTGTGTTCTCTCGGCTGGGCTACCTTTTCATTTTATTTTTTTAACTGAACTAGCCTGCGAATACGCTCTTCTCACTTATGGTAATATGCCCGTCTAACCTCGTTTACGGGTAAAAATTCTTTTGAAATTCAGATACGAAAACGTCGTCTGATTAGCATTTCAAAAGACTTTTTACTCAAAAACGAGGTTAGACGGGCATATTACCATACGTGAGAAGAGCGTATACGGCCGTTTCTCTTAACTCCTCGCCGCCAGGGACGTTTCGCCAGGAGGAACGTCTGCGAATTCGGTAGTCATGGGGTTCCAAATGCTAACTTGTTTGACTTTGTGTTTCTCCTGGTCGATTATGGTAAAGTTTTGTGGTCTTTTGCGAACGAGCTCCAGCAAAACTCAGACGCTTTTTGTAAAGAAGAATGTATTCTAGGATTATTGACTGATAGATTCATCACGTTTACATTTGGCCTTTGTGGCCTTTTGTCTTCTGTCTGTCACTCGTAACAATAGGTAAAACAATATAACTACTACGTCGTCCAATCAGAGCTCCTGAACAGATTCCGGACAGATTTTACGTCATCAGTATGTAATTTCTGTCGCTAAGTCGCAGATGTTCGTCCTCGCAAAACGTGCTTAGCGGCGAGGAGCAAGGAGGAACGGCTGTATTCTGAGGCTAAAACTGAACCTGTTGTAGGCCGCGTCCACACAAATCCGGACATTTTTTTAAACCGCATATTCTTTCACCCAGAATCGTGTGGACAGGGTCTTAAACCGGTTTCTAAAAGATGCGACTCGGTGAGCGGATTCACCGAAAGTCGTGTGGACGCAAGGTCGATTCGTGTAAAAACAATATGCGGTTTCAAAAATGTCCCGATTCTTGTAGACGGGGCCTAAATTAAATTTGGTGTGAATGGGGCATAGTGCATACCCACTGCTGCTTCAATAACATTGTAAGGCAGTAAAATTTATACACCATTCCCCAGTCTTGAAATTTTGAGGGGAACATTCATCAAACAGAGAGCACTCCCTCGTAGTGCAAGTGCGACTTTTTAGCTTTCATTTGGGCGCTTACCATTTCGAGTTACATTCAAGTTACATTCAAGCTTCCCTTGTTTTGTTTGCTTTAAATAGAGAAGTCTTAAAGTAAGGGAGGCAATTGTTGGGGGATCATTTCATTTTGGCGTCCATGGGACATTCGGAAAGAAAGAGTGTTACCTACCTTATTACTCCACTGGATATCGATCTTTTATCTACCCCCTCCCCCTCATGAAAAAATTAACATATCATGCTGCTTACCTTAAATAATGTTTGTTAGCTCATACAAACAGCCATGATACTTGAACTTTCCCCCAATCCCTCAACTTTAAAGTGATTTCCTCTAAACGTTGTCCCTGGGGTATTCTCTCGCTAATGTGCAATTTACTTCCTCATTATATTTAGAGCGGTTACCAAGCCTCTGGAGATTATCAAGCACCGACGGTTTGGCAGCGCAGAGAACGTCAGCACAACCACTCCAAGTCCCGGATCAAGTACGTAATAAGTCTATAATAATTGTTGACTGTGGTGAGATAGACTTCCGTGACACAACCTCGTATTAATCTGCGTTGAAAGGAAAGAATTTTAACCAAAACATTACGAAAGGGAGCCCAAGTCGCTACGCCATGCAGTGGGGTTATGTTGTAGGTAGCAGGGTTACATGCAAGTCCATATTATAGTTAGGCGGAAAAAGTGTACATATCGTGAACAAGGAATGAGGAATGATTTCTTCCTGCCCTGAAACGGTTCAAAGTTAGTAAGGGCAGGCGGCTTGGAGTTCAAACGTAAAGTCAAAGTACATTGCGAAAAGCGACGTGAACGACTTTGTAGATGCTTAACGCTATGGCGGAAAGAAACCTCTGCTCATAAGGAAAAATGCAATGGAGATTGACTTTAAAACAACACTTAATTTTCTAAAAGGTGCCGGTCAGCTCGTATTACTGTGTAACACCGTTTACAGAGACAAGACTGTGACAAGATGATTGTTTTGTATTGTATAATATATGGACACTCGATTACCAGCCGCTGGTCTTGTAATGAGCCCGCACTCATCTCCCCGAAAGGGTTAGGAGCAGGGGAGTGGAGGGGAGGGGAGGATAAAGACCGGACCTGGGGCCGGAAAGTCCCGGTAAATTTTCGTGCCTGGAAAGCTGTTTTATGTTTTCCATGTTTACATTCAAGATCAATGTGTAAATTAACGAAGCAAAATTGACTGGTTTCCGGGCCAGGGGCCCGTTTCTCGAAAGTCCCGGTAACTTTTCGGGCCCGAAATCAAATATTCAAATAGAAATAAAAAGAATAAAAGCGCGGCTCCTGGCAAGCAAACTACTGCATTTTGTTTCTTTAACTGATAGTTTTATCATGTTAGATGCAAAACTATTGAAACTTCGATCTTTAATGGAAACCGAGACAGCTTACCGGGCCCGTTAATTATCGGGACTTTCGAGAAACGGGCCCCAGGAACTGTGCTGCTATTAAACAGGTTTCAAATCTAAAATTTGCCTTCGGGCCCGAAAAGTTACCGGAAATCTCGAAAAACGGGCCCCTGGACCGGACCAGGGAGACGGCAGAAATCGAGCCTAGCGTTTATACAGTCGCCGCCAAATACCGTGGCCAACGTATTTCTTTCCTTCAAATTACAGAGATTGATGGATTCGAAGAGGAACCAAGCAGTCCCACTGGAGACGATAGTCTCATGGGAGATTCAAACCCAAGGTAATATTGCTTCTATCGCTACCTAATGTTTCGCTTATACTCAACTGGTTGTAGTGCATTTGATTGCGCCAATATTGTAATTGTTCTTAACTAATATTGCAACAGTAATGTATTGATGTTTCCCTTATACTCAACTCACTGAACTCTACATCTCTATCTTTACATCATTGAAGCATCGTGGTGCGTTTGATTGCGCCAATATTGTAATTGTTCTCAACTAATATTGTAACAGTATTGTAACAGTACTGTACTTGATTTTAGGACGTGTGAACGTTGATGATCGGACAAGAGGTTACCGTGAGAATCAATCCCGTGGTTAGCCCCAGTTACGCTCGTGGTGGTCGCATAATGTTTAACCTTTCCTAAATAGTCTAAGAATGTTAAGAGGGCATCATGCGGCTGAAAGCAACTCTTTTGTTTGCATTGCAAAACTTGTTTATCGGTTGAATATATGACGTGCCCGAATAAACTAGGATTATCCCATGCTGTAGTAGTATCCTCCCGCTATACTGGCACAATACATTGATGTTGTAGTAATATAATCCCACTATGTTGGTACGATAATGTGAGTGGTATTGTTTCTGTTACAGTCCTGCAAGATACAACAGCGATGACGACTCATCTAGTGTGGCTTCTGGACACATCAGGTAGGTGTATATGAAAACCTTGAAACCCAGCAATAATATTCTATTCTATCAGAAACTCATAACCCCTTATGAGTTTCCGATTCTATTTTACTTTATTTTTGTTAGAGAAAAAATGATACTAAGGCGACGACACTCGTTAAAGGGAAAATGAAGATTTGCCTCTCTGGAGTGCTCCAGCCTCAAGGCTGGCCTGTGCCAAGGTCTCGGTCAGTGCAGACGAGCGAAAAAAGCAAGCGAGCTAACAACGGCGGGAAGAGAAAAGGCGCCGTGTTGTAATGTGCGCGCGCGCTAATCACGCGTGAAAGTGTGCGCAGTGGTATGCAATGCTAAAGAATTGCAGATAAGCGAAAAAAGCAAGCGACCGGAGTAAAAGTGAGCGAGCTAAAACCGGCAGGAAAAGAGAAGGCGCCGTGTTTCAATGTGCGCGCGCGCTAATCACGCGTGAAATTATGTGCAGTAAGGATGCGCAGTGCAATACTAAGGAATAGGCTACTTCCGAGTTCCAATAACCCTCACTTTCAAAACGAGGCTAAGTGTACAACCTTTAACTTTTCTTTTTGCGTTCCTTCACAGCGTACCTGCTCCTGGAAACAGCCCTCGTCATAGTCTCCCTCCCAGTCCCCCAATGTCCTACGAACAGGATATCACGGAACTTCGTGCCACGAACACCAGACTACAGGAACAGATAGACAATTTGAAAGTAAGAAACTGCCCTCCTACCCCTCCCCTAAGCCAACATTTTGCCCTAAGTTAGAAGTAAGTGCTGATGTAAGCTTAGGGAAGGGGTAGGTGGGCAGTTTCCCAGAAACGTATAATGATCTGTTAGCTCTCCTTGGCCTCGCTCAAGCACGAGAAAATTTGCAAAAATTGACAGAAATGAAATTCAACGCTAAGGTTGTCGTTTATGTAGCCTGTAATGTAGGCTTATTTTGGGTGAGCGAAAGCTTGTTCATGTTCGTATCGCTACGATGAAGCCACCATCTTTGATTTTATGACAGAGGAAGATTGGGAAGGGTAGAAATAGTAACCCTTTGGGTAGGTGTGAGGGCGAAAGAAGGAGAGGGGGGAGGGGGAGGGGAGAAAAAATTTTCTCTTCTTTCTCCCCGCCCTCTCCCCCTCCCTTTCACTCGCCCCATTTCCTCCTCTCTTCGGGAGTTTCAACATGGCGCTTTCGCGATTAAAACCATTCGCGCGCCCGATGAAAACGCCTGCACTGCAGGCTATCGTTTATGTTGATAAAAGATGCAGTTAGCAATGATGGCATCAGCCTTGTACAAAGGAAAGCAATGCTTGAATAAAACGCCTGTGCTGATATTTCAGCTAAATTGTAGAGGGGAGAGGAGAGGAGAACCAGTTGCTACCCTTGGCAACGTGAAATGAGGGAACACGTGATATGGACTTCACGTGATCGTTCATTAAAATGGTACTCAAAAACAAGGGGGCTTTTGTTACTGCTGGATATCCATATCAGACAGAGAAGCACGTGATTGTGCCAAAATAAATAAAAAAATAGATCGATAGATAAGCGGGTTCAAAACGCGGCACAGCTTTGAAGTTGGATCCACATTCCAGGGCAATATACGATTCTGTGCTCAGCCAACTTTCCAACGCTCTTTTGCAGCGTCAGTTAGATATTGTCGCGGAATCGCTTCAAGAAGAAAGATGCAATTCCGAGGTTTGTATTCAGTTTTTCCTTTATACTTTAGAATTTCCTCACGCAATGGTATAATTGCCTTATGCGTTCCTGAACGCGCAAAAAGCTGCCATTTCTACTTCTTTAAATTTAGAATCAACAGTTACTTGAAAAAATCTTTCAAGGTTTAGGTGCTCGTTGAAGACCTCTCTTTCCTCACCTAATTTAAGAAAAATTATATTTCTCTTTTCTTGTATGATAACAAACGTATAAGTATGTGTAATCAAATGGTGACGAGTGAAATTATTCCCTAATTTCACGAGTATACCATTTGATTACCTATTAATATCATGGGTGACGAATTACGTTAGCAATCTTGGATTTTTGACATGTTTATCCTGGATCGTATCGATCGAGAACTCCACTCTCTCAAATGTTTAGACCTTAAATTTGGCTTATAAAGTTCAGAATTTTTCAGACTTTTTCGCCAAAATACCTGTTAGAATCCTTCTTGATGTTCTCTTGTGTGTTCAGGTTAAGCGTGCCCTGACGTCTTCTTTCACGGCATTTTAAAACTTCGTCGCCATCTTGACACTGAGACGTACGGAAGGGTTGCCATGGCAATTTCGTAATTTCACATGTGAAATTACAAACTAACGCTGAAATTTCGCGCCAAAATTAAGGAGTAATTCGTCACCTATGATATGATAGCTTATAAACTCTTATAATTCACAATATTGGCAGGCTGGGTTAACAAAAGGGTGTTTTTGGTTACTTTCAGCAACTAAGGGAATTATTAAATACTATCACAACCGAATGGAATGACGTGTCAGAATTACGGCAGAACGAGGTAAGCGGCTTTTAGTTTTTGCGTGTAGAATTGTCCATCCAACAGCACAGTCTTGGATGACTATTTGGACGCACTTAACCTGTTATTTCACGCCTTGTGCAATTCCTAGTTGAGTTTAAGTGGTCGCTGGGCTACAATCCTCGCCAAGCATGCTGCAAGGTCAGGACAACGTTCAACAGTGACCTGTGGCCCGTTTCTCGAAATTCCCGGTAACTTTTCGGGCCCGAAATCAAGTATTCAAATCAAAATATAAAGAATAAGAAGGGCGGGTCCTTTGCTAACAAAATACTCCATTTTGTTTCTTAAACCGATAGTTTTATCATGTTAGATGTAAAACTATTGAAACCTCTGTCTTGCATGTAGACAACAGCAGTTTTACGGGCCCGTTAATTATCGGGACTTTCGAGAAACGGTCCCCAGGGGCGCTTTCCATTCAACAAAAATTCCGGTTTGCATGAAATTTCGGAAATGTCACGTGCCCAATGGAACGGTACATTCCGGTTGCATACACCCGACTCGAGCGACCGCGCGTTTGGTTATTGTTCTTGTAAGCAGGATACAAAAGAGCGGTACTGGGGACAACAATTTTGTCAAATGGAAAGGACCATTTTACCCTGGGTGCCAGAGGCGTTTCATGCGCGGTTTCCGGTTTCGGAAACGACCCACGAAACGAAGGTCGCTCGCGAGAAAAAACCTCTGGTACCCAGGGTGGGGCCATTTCGGTCCTGCCGACCAAAATGACCAGATGTATGTACCAACCGAAGTTTCCAGAATTTTGGGTTGAATGGAAAGCGCTCCAGATGTCCTTTTACACCTCGCACTATCCTGGCTAAAAATTCTTGAAACACCCATGCATTTCCCTCTCCTTCTGCATACAATAACATTGCCAATGCGAAGGGGGATTTTCCAGAGTATTTCGAGGTTTTTATCTGAGATCGTAGATAGTACCCTTTGGACGTTTTATTGACCTGTTTTTCATCGATTAAGATCAAAAGTCTTCAAGAGTGAAGTTTGAACCTGCGCACTCTGTTTTTTTCGCTAGAATTGTCAGTGCTAATCAGCGTTTTTTTTAATGTGTGACGCAGATGATAACCGTAAAACAGGAACTAGAGCGAGCTGAGGAGCGTATTGAACTAGTGGAATATCGATCAGCGGAGAGGGCCAGTGAAATAGAGGAAGGCCTGGAGTCCTATGTTACAAAGGTAAGAGCTGCGTTGTACGCCATACAGGCATGGCTTCACTTGTACCTTGTTTGAGCATTCATGCAGTACAGTGAAATCCTAAGAATTATCGTTATCCTGCACGTTAACCCTGTCACTGCCAAATGTGGCCAAAGGCAAGTTTCGACCAAATTTCCAAATTTCATTTTCCAAAATTGTGAGAAACAAATAGCATCATGTGGAAGTACCGGCAGAGAGCTTTCATTTGAATGGTCACATCGTAGGATTTCATCCACAGGCTCAAAAAAAAAAGGTTAGAGTCACCTTACAATACTCCATCAAACACTCTGGCAGTGAAAGGGTTAATTGTCAATTCTTTTGTCACACAGGTTTTAAAGATTGAAGCGCTTCAACAACAGAGCCAGCAGATGATGGGACTGGACGAATACTTGGATCAAAGCGCGCAAGCTAAAGCACTTTTATCAAAATTTCTTACCATGATGCTGGCCATCTTACAGATTATTCTTATCATATGCACAACACTAGCAAGAATTGTTATTCCGTTTACAAGGACCTGGTAAGTTGTGTTGTTTCTCGTCCGATTCTTCCAATTCCCTCCCTTCGTTACATCCGTATCCTCGTTAACTGACCATGCTCTGCTGAACTCAGTTGCCTTGGAAACGAATTGAAAAGCGCCCGCTCACGTTCAAACCTACCTTGTAACAAATCAGGTTGTCGCAAGTTGCGTGAGTACTGACTTCTGATTGGATAAAATTACGCGAGAGTCTCGCCATACATGGAATAACGTCACTTGTTGTAAAGCAAGTTTGCCTTAGGCCGGTGAAACTCGCAACTTGTACAATTGTTGTTTGCAAAAAGTAGAACTACTCTCTACTTCCCTCAACAACTTATCGCAAAATGCAACAACCTGATTTAAATTGTGAGCGGTAAAGCGCACACAACACGGAAATTCAACTCGTTTTGCAGCAGTGTTTCAAATCAACTTAAACTTTTTTATTGCTTGTTTTACCTTATCTTTATTTAATTTGCAGGTTCCGAATTATTGTGACAAGCCTTCTTATTTTAATCATTGCCATTTTATGGAGATATCAAGAGAGTGACAATGTGCGACTGGTCGTGGAATGCGTGACAGGACACTTAGCACTAATGAGAGACAAATTCGTTTCTCTGGGAATCCCCTTTCAAAATTTCGCAAATAGGTTATTTCATAGACAAAAGTTATGACAAAGACATGCAATAATTCGGAAAAAGAAATACGAAGGATATCAATATAAAATACGAATTTTTATTTCCTCCTTGAGATATTCGAGTATTCTTGGAGGGTGGGGTGGGGAATGGGATCGGGGGGAGGGTTAGGCATAAATCTGCTGGGAAAGAATTCAAGTCCTAACCCTCAGCTAGCGATAAAATGTTTGCACTTCTTTCCCACTGGCTATAAAATTGTCGCGAAGTATCTTTGACCAGAGGTGAGACAAACAAACATTTATTTTTTTTTTACAGGGAGCTCGTTCCAAATAAAAATCCACAAAGAGACTTCAATGACATTGATTAGTGCATCGAATGGCGTTTAACATTAACAACTGTTTCTAATTTTCGTATAGTGCTCCTCTTAACAGTCCAAACCGATTCATTGCTGCTCTTTTATGCAACTGCGAATTTTCTCTCTTTACACTCTGAAATCATGTTTTAGATGTTCTATATTCTGTTTCCTGTTTCTCTGGTAAGCGTTTCTTAAAGTTAGACAGTGAATTTTATCCTCCTCTTCTTGTTGTAGGTAGACCCTCTGGTGATTTATTATACGGTCTAGAATAGTCCCCTGTTTCACTTTCTTCATTTACTGAACAGTTTGCCTCCAACAATAGAGTTGGAAAGCAGACAATTGCAATACTGGGTGAGTATGGCCTAGTAGCGCGCAAAGGGCTTTGATCTACAGGCTCGCTCACCCCGTTTGTTCGTTTTGATGTGATTTCAAATCGCGAGTATAACGTAGTGGCGATTTGATGGAGCTTTATCGCCGCGAAATTGCCTTTGTTTTGAACCAGCGGAACTTTGTTGCTAATATCGCTGCGGCTGTTGAGCGATTTAATGCTATATGATATTTTTCCCTGATGAAGGCAGCGTCGCCGAAACGTGGGAGATTTATTTGCAATTATCAGCGTTTAACTTACCACCTTCCCACTTATAACACACACAAACGCTACGCGGGAACCCCCTTTATTTGTACCTTGATTTAATGCTTGCGTGCATGACCAGAACAATAAGCAAACAACCGTGAAATAGTCCGAAAACTAGCTCCGTAACATAAACATTGGTTTTGCCTCGGAGGTTTTCAGTGTGGCTGGTAAGTTCGCTTCACCAATCCCGAGTGTTAGACTTTCGGGGTAAATAGAAAGAGTTTACCCAATAGCGACTGAACACCTCGACTTGGAAGCAAGGGACTCGCAGAATCCCACTGTATTCTGGTTGACGCGTGCAACGCTCGTATTCCGCCTTTCCACAACTTTTTTTCCCCTGATTCCCCTGTTTGAAAGTTCCAGGGGAAGAGGGTAAAGATCCTTAGTAAGGGACATCTGTGAGCATCAAAAAAAGCACCAAACGTTTTCAAACTGTAAAGATGATTGTCAAAATTAGCGGAAAGCGAAAAACTTATCGTATTACTAAACCAACGAAACTTTTGTACGCCCAACAAATCTTGAACAAAATAACCCCCCGCCCGGCCCCCAAAAATCAATGATGGGAAAATGACACGTTTTGTCCTTCGCGTGGCTTTTCCTTGATTTTCAGGTGGAATGGAGGTTTTTCATTTTTATTCTGTCTAGTAATGGTCAGGCTTCGAAGGTAACGTTAATTTTTTTCGTTTTGTTAGCTCGCGCGTCCCCTCTTCGTGTGACAAGCGAGCCAATGAATGTCAGTAAAACCCACATGGTACATGGCTTGTAAAACAAATCTTCTTCCTCAAATTCCTAGTAAAAACCTTAAAGCGTTGTTACAGTCACTAAGCGAAGTTTCCCTGGAATCGATCGAGTTTGTAGTTGGTATGTCACCAAAACACTTGACAAACAATTCGATCCAATCGTTTTAACAACCATTTTCTCGCTTGTACAAGGGGAGTGCTGATCAGTCACGAGTGAATGTTAATTTTGAGAGGAAAATTAGTTCAAACCCTACGGTCTACTTAAGAGAGAAAAAAAAAATGAGAAAACAGTCTCGTGTTATAACACCTATTATCTCGTCTTTTCTCGTCTTCAAAATAATTGTTTTAAATCAGTGCCTGGAATAAAGTTTGCTTAATGAATAGCTTACGACTTTCCTTAAATTGATTAATTGCTGTCAGTACCGGTATTGTGATGTTTATTCCATCACAATACCGGTGGAAACTTTTCATCAAAATTACAAGCTCAGTTATCGTAACTTGTCAACTCTACGAATAAATTAAATGCGTAATTTCTGTATTTTCCTACTTTAAAAGAACATTTGTTTAAAAAGTGGCTTCTTCTATTTAAAGATTTTTCTGAAATTTCAAACTTGTCTTGAACTTTTAAAACTCCCTTGGATCGTCTGGGACTTCCAAAACTTAAAGATTGCAGTCAAATATTTGGTGTATTACTTGGACACTTTTTCGTACATTTGATTTGCCTGCGTTAATATGGACTGATTCTTTTCTTATTTACCGTCTCAAGTAATAATCATTCAACTTATATATCATGAAAAAGACCTCCAAGAACTGGCAGTCGGCGAACAACAAATAAATTTACATCATAAAAGCTCTTGGGTCGATGGACGTTTTACTGCAGGTGTTAATTCGTCTGTGGTAGTGGATTGAGTAATGTTTTTGTTTAAGCAAAGAGCTTCTTTTAACGCTTTTTTTAGCTTTTTTTGTTCTTTCATCCTTTGTTTAAAAAGTATCAGGGCAACAGTTCCTTAATACAAACAATTTTTTCTCTATAACTAAACTTCAGTTCTCCAAACCGCTGCATGATGTATACTTCTACGTTTTCGTTATATTCCATGTGACTATTAGAGAATTAAATCGGATCGAAGATCTTCTAAAAACGTGAAAGTCTGGCACTGAATTATAACATAATTATCTAGTGAGATGGTAGATATTTTTGCAAACCTGAAAAGATTGTACATGTTATCCGAAAAGCGTTTTAAATTTGTGAGAGCACTGTCTGCATAAAATACAGTGAACCAGTCCTCCTTCATTGCCATTTTAGAAAAATTTTCTCCTTTCAATACCGACTCCATGAGAAGGGTAATTGTTAACGAGAAAGGACTATATTTGATAGTTTTCAAATGATAGATTGAGTAACCGTTAATTAGATTGATTAATTAAGCGGGCTCGTGACACATCTCAGCACAATTAAAATTATATTCGAAGTAAGAGAAACTTTTTAAAGAAAAACAATGTGATGCCGTTTGATCAGGAGAGAGAAAAGTTTAAGTTCCCAGTTTCTACATGAAATTATGGAGTTCAGGGAGTCATAATGGGTCTGACGTTATTTTATGGATATGGGGCTGTGTTTGATACAAACAACATGGTGTGTCTAGAACGGCTCGCATGGCACTTAAACTTTGTGTCAAAAAATGTGAATCAATATCATTACTGATTGAGTAATATTTTTCATGTGAAAGAAAACAACTTGTGATCTGCAGTAAACAAGAATTGGAAGACTTGAAAAATCAGCTCTTTTTTCTTCTCGAAACTGAGGGAAAAGTTGTTAAAACTTGTCTCATGTATTATACGCAAATCATATCTCTCGTACGTCCCACATGGAGATCACTGAACTACCGAATAAAAGCAGAGAAACTGCGTTTATTTAATTTAACTAATAACTACTATTACTTAAGGATTAGCAATATTCAACTTTCAAAACTTAAAATTCGAGACCAAAAAAATGGGATCCATTAGATTGAGTCAGCAAGTTTTTTTTTGTTTTTCCTACAGTCTGAAAAGATTATTTCTAATAGACAATCCTTTGTCTTGAAGATTTTGAGACCAATTAAAATTTCAATTGTTATCGTACGTTTCAAATAAAGAACTGTTCTAAGGAAAAATTTTTTTTCCAGTGCCATATGCTAAACGAAAAAATCACCATTTATCGGTTAATTTTTGTCCTCTCATATGGATAGAATGCCCCCAAAGCTTTTCCTCTGGTTTGCCTCTCCGAAAATGTGATGATAAAATTTTGTCGAAATTTAGTGAACAACACTAATTTGTCTGAGTTTGAGTCTCATCGCGATCCATTATTGTCAACACCTTTTCTTTGTCCAAACCAATGGTCCTACGTGGAGTCTCTCGTTGTTGGAAGTTCTGAATATATCTCATCATCGAAGAGGTTGTACTCAGAAGAGGACAAGTCTCCATTCAGGACGGTCCGAAGAAACTCGGGTAAGTTTTTATTCACGTACCTTATTTTAATATCTTCATAGATCTGGAGAAAGGAAACCATTAAAAATATCTAAAAAGACAAAAGAGAAAACTGAATCTATTTCTGGCCTTTTTTAGCTTAAAGGCTTTTGGCATTTTAACTTGACCCTATTTTCAAGACAGCTCGTCTTTACCTTAACAAGTGCAGCACACGCTGGAGAAAAAAATAGATTTGCACCAAATTTGCTTAGGAAAAATTAGATGCAAAAAGTCCAAACTATTATTAAGTAAATCACAGTTTTTTCAATGTCGGTGAAAGTCGGGAAAACTTTTTGGTCAGCGCTGAAAAACAGAATATGTCTCTTCGGTCAGCTGGAGAAACTAAGAAACTTAGACCAGTAGGAGACCGCTTTCTTTTCTCTACGACACGCTTCTGTGTACAGCTATACTTTGGTAATATTAAAAAGGGTATCGGCGAAGTTGGACGATTATAAAGTGAAAGCCTTCATTAGCAAGTACTTTATTCCTGGCGTCAAAATGTTTGATGGATGCACGATCTAAAATCAGTTCACTATATAAATGAGGCAATGATGTTTATCAAAACACAAAAATCATGAAAGACAAAAACTCAGTATAAGAGTACATGAATCACAAAGTTTCCCTCGCTGCTTTCAGCAAATAGTATTCCCAAACAGCAGTACTGAATTCCTGTAACTTAAAGGTCCGTGAGAGCAATTTAGTTGAACAAAGTCTCAACGAAAACTTGGAAATTAAAACGCCCACAAAAACGGTGTCGTGTCTTCGTAGTTCATCCCACAGTCTTAAGTCCGGCTGATTAGCAACAAAGCTAATAACTAAATTATTTAGCTGCCGTTACGATCGATCATGATAGAATACTGGCATTTTCTCACAGTAAGTAAAATACGAACATACAGAGAAATGTTACCAAAATAAAAATTAATTAGAAGAAAAGTAATCTTTAAAAAATAAAATTTCCTTCTGTGAAAAAACTTCTTTACTCCTTTAGTTAAAATGTCACAAATAAAAACAAATTAAAACAAAAAATAAACTATTCAAAACAAAAAGATTTGAAATTCTCCTTCGGGGAAAAATCCTCTTTATTAAGGTGTTTTTTTCTTTGACCTGTCTTAGAGAATCAACGCTTATAATTACTTCAAGAAAGAAAATATACCAGTACAAAGAAAACGATTACAAAGTATTTATTTCTTTTTCCTTTCTAGCCTGCCTTGAAAGATGTCTTCGTTTGTCAGTGCCACAGAGAAGATGACAATCAGGACAATTCTAACGATACTTTCCGTGCTAGTGTTCATTCTAATCACTGTACAAACTGCCCACTCAAACGGTATCTATGGCAACATTAATAGTGGATTTTAGTTCCTATAGTAATTAGCCAATTTTTTTGATTAATTTTGGTTCGCTACACAGACAATTTAGATATAAAATAGTATGTACATAGAAGGGCCTGGTGTAGCTTAAAATTCCACCAAAATTTTAAGAGTAAGTTGAGAAGCGAATTAAAGTTTTTTGACTTATAGCCGAGATGTGCGATCCAAGAATAATTGATTGCCAAGAAATGGGTCGAAATTTGAACCGATAGCCAATGAACCAATCACTTAGCGTTGCACTCGTAATGCAGACCTTCGTTGATTTGAACTGGTCTTGACATGCATCCCCGCAGATTTTGCAGGGGGAATGACGTCATCACCACTTGCCGAAGGAGTGAGCCTGGGTCGAGATCAATCGAACACACAATTACTAGCTCATAACTGCTAGTGGATAATGCAGCTAGTGGCGCCTTTGTGTGCTGACGTCCGAGCGTATTGTTCATGAACTATGTCAAGAGGACACGTATTGTGGTCCTTTCATCCACAAAACAGTTGATCCCAGCTTGATATACAGGGGTACTCGGCCCCCTGATGATAAAGCTTATTAAAAACAACAGTAACAAGTAACGCACTATTGTTGATTGTGTTTAATAATGATATCTTACGGTTTTATCTTCAGATTCAAAGGACTTATCACAAACGGAAGTTAGTAATGGTGAGTTTAGTCTAGTAACATTTACACGAATTTCCTCGGTTAATCAAACCCCTTGAGATATTATCAACTTTCTGCGCGCTTCTGTGTAGTTCTGTACAGCCATCCATACATACATTCATTCATTCATTCATTCAGTCAGTCATTCATTCATTCATTCGTTCGTTCGTTCATTCTTTCATTCATTCGTTCATTCTTTCATTCATTCATTCATTCATTCATTCATTCTTTCATTCTTTCATTCTTTCATTCATTCATTCATTCTTTCATTCATTCATTCATTCATTCATTCATTCATTCATTCTTTCTTTCATTCATTCATTCATTCATTCATTCATTCTTTCTTTCATTCATTCATTCATTCATTCGTTCGTTCGTTCGTTCGTTCGTTCGTTCATTCATTCTTTCATTCATTCGTTCATTCATTCATTCATTCATTCATTCTTTCTTTCTTTCATTCATTCATTCATTCATTCTTTCATTCATTCATTCATTCATTCATTCGTTCGTTCGTTCGTTCGTTCATTCTTTCTTTCATTCATTCATTCATTCATTCATTCTTTCTTTCTTTCATTCACTCATTCATTCTTTCTTTCATTCATTCATTCATTCATTCATTCGTTCGTTCGTTCGTTCATTCATTCATTCATTCTTTCATTCATTCATTCATTCATTCATTCATTCATTCTTTCATTCATTCATTCATTCATTCATTCATTCATTCATTCATTCATTCTTTCATTCATTCATTCTTTCATTCATTCTTTCATTCATTCCATCCGTTCGTCCGTCCGTACTTTCTTTCGTTCGATTGCTCGTTCGCAGTCAGTCATTCATTCAACCGCATTAAATTCAGTCGTTCAATCAATATTCATTGAACATCCATTACTTATTTACTGCTTAGTTTAAGTTAGTTTCATTGCATTAGAGCTATAGCTGCTTTAATACCCACTAACTTTTTTTTTTTTTGCTCAGTTTTGGTTTGAGATTATAAAACAATAAAAAGTTCCAACGGCAAATGAATGGCTATAATACGCGTACGTTGTAAAATGAAATGTATCTACGTATGTTTATGTTTTAGCATCGTTCTCAGACTTGGAGCGTGGTTCGATGCTGACACATACAGACCGCTATAAAGAAAATTTTGGTAGGTACAAACCTTTTTAAGTGTAGATAGTTCCCATCGTAGGCTGCTAGACGTACAATTTGATGGATAAATTTGATATATTGTCATTTGCTACCCTGACTCCTCGGGATAGAACTGCCAACCAAGCCATTCGTTTTGTTGTTGTTCAACATTTCAGATGAAATGACAATAAAACTGGCTCAATTTGCTTCTTTGCAGTGGGATCAAGAGCAGCTCGTCTTGACTTTTTTTCCCCCAAATTGTATTGGGTCATTTCTGTAATGGATGAACAAAAGTATACAATCAGGGAAAATCCAACCAAATAGACCAACTTTGCTCAGAGGCTTGCGGAATAAAACAAAACAGGGGTCTTGAATTTTCTCCAGCAAGCCTGGCGGAACCAAAATACAAGTTTGAATGAAATATAACGAAATTGGTCTACGAATTTGTTGAATTGTAAAGAGAAGGCGAGTAAAACCGCGTATTTTGCTCTATCATAATATTTAACGTCTTTTTGTTTTTTTTTTAACTCAGGAACGTTGTACTTGGCATCAAGAGGTAAGAATTTTGAATGTTTCAAACCTGAAAAATCGGGAATAAAGAAATAATATAAACATTCTGTTGATTATATTTTATTCCACCTTCTCATCGCAGTCGGAATCAGAGTTCCGCTAGGTTGGTTTGTTTGTTTTGTTATTTTTTCCCATTTGTGTGGTTTGACGGTCCCTCAGTTTTTCCAGTAAAATCTTATAGCTTCTCACATTATGTTTGTTGCCGCTTCAATGATCACTTTACAGACGGAGATAAAATTACCGTCCAGTTTTGCAGGGAAGGACACCATATGTATATAATTGGGCGCTGGCATTTGTCAGAATCCTTTGAACTCTTTCAAATTGATTTCTGAACAGTTCTTAGAAAAAACAGTATTATGCAAAAGTTTTCTCAAAGAGGTTTCATCTCTTTGAATGTTAACACGTTACGAATTCGTCAACAGATGAAAAAGAATTAGAGCTACCAAGAATTCCATAATAACGTAGTCTAGAAATTAATGAGGATTATTGAGATTGCTGTTGATCAATCACTCAGTTATTGCGTGTGTTTGTTATTTCATACCAACTGCTTTGTTTTACAGGTCGTCGAAAAAGCTATAAATGTGTTAAAAAAAACTGCCGGGGAGGATTTTCGAATTGTGATCAGTCTCGGTGTCAGGGAACGTGTACAGGAAGAAAACCCATATGTTGCTGCAAAGAGGGGGCAGGAGGTACGTTTAATCTAGTTTCCTAAAACTTTGTCAGAATGTTGGGAATCGTTCAAATCTAAATTCGGGTTGAGTAGGTGGGTTTTTGTATCAATTGTCTCTTTGGGTGCAGATTCGAAAAAGTACACGTCGTAAGCGAATTTCTTGTAAAAATATGAGGCCTGCCACGTTTGGGTTTTAATTACGACCAACGGCTCCAAATTAAGAACCTGAGATTAACTATTGGACTTTTATTTCGCAATGAAATGCACCTTAGCTACAGCCCTGGCCTGTAAGCTTGTACCACTGTACATCTGTAAGATTGCTTTGTCGTTTCTACTGGTCTAAAACTTTCTTGCGAAGCCCCGGAATTGAAAACTGAAGAGGAAGGCAAGTCAAAAACACTGACTCACAAACCACACCATAACTTGTAGCAAAATAAGAGCAAGTAGTTCCTCTCCAAGTCTAGAAGTTTTCCAAGTGAGTGTGAAAAATAGCTTGGTCTTGTCTTTTCTTTAAATGGGAGCCATGCTAAGCCAGAAGTTTTCGTCCCTTGTTATTTCAAAGCTAAACAGTGGAACTTCACCAAAGGCTTTTAAGAAAAAATAATTGACCTGTTTTTAAACTAGTCAGCGGTTTTTATAAACCGACAGTGTACTTAATTTTTAGACGTATTGTACATCGTTGAATTTTAGACATTTATTATAGTACAAATAGAATTTTCACATATATTTCCATTTCTAATACCCTTTATCCCTTTTTATTTAACAATTATTCCGCAAGTGCGCGTTCGATAAGAGATGGTAGCTAGGTAGCCATAATCGGCTATAATACTCTCGTATCCAACAAGTGCGAAGTTTGGAAAGGTGCCTTGTACTACATAATGAACGCGGGTTTGGATATGCAGTGACGGTGAATTACACAACGAGATTTTGTTATGTTCACTTGGAGTACGTAAGCCCACTTTTCTATGTACTCGAGTCTGTCAGCTCCTTCATAGACTCTTTTGTTTTTTTTTTTAGGTAACAATGAACCTTATTGTGCGAAAAAGAAAAAGGGTTGCAGACATGGATTTGAGCAGTGTCCTCCTCAGTCATCGGAATGTGGAAAGTGCAAAAAGAAACAAATATGTTGCTGCAAGGAAGGGGATGGTGGAGGCGGTGGCGGTGGCGGAGGTAAGCCACATAGCCTGAGTAACTGGCGTTCCTAAGGGGCTAGGGGAGAGGACCCCAAAAATTTTGCATAACCATTGTATCCAACTTCTCCAGGGTATTACAGTCGGCAATGCATGGTTATGCAAAAGTTTTGGGGGGAGGGAGGGGTGCGTAAATAAGGTGCATTATGGTACATGAAAAATGTTGAATGCGCGGACAAATTTTCAAATACTGATTTGGGCTATTGTTTAAGACAATGGAAAGCTTAATAAACTGCATAAACACCAAGCAGGCAAATTTTCACTGTCTGTGTTTGGTTCTGTAAGTTTCGCAGCTGTTGTGGTGCTTCCGAAAAAAATGGCCTAATTTTACCTAAAATGCTTTTCCTTTCTAACTTTCTATGTATTTAGCATCTTTAAAATGTTTAAGAAAAATTTAAAGTAAATAAGTAAAATTTCAAAAGGCACTTCTTGAACCTTCATCAAAACATAGCCTCGCTTAGCCATGTTAATAATAATAATAATAATAATAATAATAATTAAAATACTTCTATAGCGCTACAAAAAAAATGATCAGTAGCGCTCTCTAATAATGCACTCAGTTAAAAATCTATTCTAAAATGATATGAATACAAAATGCAAAATGTAAAATACAATTGAATAAAAAAAATAATTAGATCAGATAAGCTTAAAAAAAGGGCCCAAATGAACTTCTAGTCTAACCTGTCCGAAAAAGGTGGGTCTTAACTTTGCGTTTAAAATAGTTAATGATTGAATATCGCGCAATTCAGCGGGCAAACTATTCCACAAACTTGGCGCAGCAGCATATGCAGCAGCAGCTGGTGGTTTCATCTGTGTAGCTGGTGATTTCGTTGGAAAACGTTGAAAGATTAAGGCGCACTTCAATTAAAGCGTACGTTTAGTAACAAAAGGAGCTCCTAGAAGGTCCATTGTTAATTAATGTAAAATTACACTTGATGCCCCCTTTATAAACAGTCCCATACTACAAAGACGAAAATTACTGGAATAATGTGCGTAATTAGCCCATAATTATTTTGACGACTTATTAAGTTTATCTGCTAATCATGAGACCATCATCAGCTGCCATCCTTTAAAACAAATCCACGGCTGTTGCTCATGGGTATGATTTGATTCGACCTCGTCTCCAGGGCCCATTTTCTAAGGTTGCCCCCTGTTGGGGAATCCGGAAAATTTTTGCTTGTGAAATGTGGAATACAGCTTAGGGAATCCGGAATCCCTCTAACAATTGAAATCCGGAATCCAAGTTCCATTGACCAAGAAGCCGGAATTTAGCACCTAGAATTCGGAATCCACGGCGCGGAATCCATAATCTTAGGGACTGGTCATTATTTATCACCTGGGTGGGAGGGGGGGTGGGAAGGATTTGGGGGGGATCACTTGACTTTTAGGAGAACAAAAGTGGGGATCAGTCGTAAATGAGAACCCAAAAGGGGGGATCACTGAAAACTTTGGAAGGATTCAGAGGGGGGACCACTCAAATTTGCTTGGAAAATAAAGACATGGGGACAGGGGGGGGGAAGATCGTGAAAGTCATCAAATGTTATCAGGGGGATCACTTCAGTGGAGTAATATTCAAAGAGGGGATTGGCTAAATTTCACCTTGTTTAGCCCCAAAGCCAGCCCACCCTCCCCCCTCACCCCCAGGCGATAAATAATGACCGGTCCCTAAGACTGCCTTAGACTCGCTTACATGAGGCGACTAAGGGAAAAGCACTGAGGGCGAGGTTGGATTTGTTACCTTGTTTTTTCAGTCTCTCTTCAAAGTACGGCCAGCTTGTGTAGAGACGTGACCGTTGTGGGGAGAAATGGGTACCAATTTTTGGGAAAAGCTTAGCAGGCGTCGAAAGGGGTAGGGGATAGGGAAAAAGAAGGGAAAAAGGGAGGGGGGGTGCTTTTCTCCCTCCCCCTCTCCCTCCCCTTTTTGCGCCTGCCACGTAGGCTAGGAAAAGCTGCAAATTTTGACTCAAAAATAATGAAATAAATAAAATAGATAAACTGTTCATTATAGCACGTTCATACGTAATATAATACGACAGAAATGTGCCCGTTGAAAAGAAATCAGAAAAATCAGAAAATCAGAGTGATAGTGTTGTTTTCAAGATAAATATACGGTTAACGTTATGACTTAACACAGATTATTCATCTCAGTTTTCTTTTCCTGGACCCTATGATGTGGCTACTAGCTCGGTCAAATCCGGCTAGACCCCTTGTAGCGCACACTGTTTGAATTCAAACGCATTTTAGCGATCGGGGTTGGCCGGAAATGAGGAACTTACGGAAGTGGGAGAATTTGAGAACCATATTGGGCGCTGTCAATCATGGCGTAAAAAGAAATATTTTAAAAGCAAGTGTAATGTTGATGATACAGGGTCTTCGCCAGAGAAAGTGGGACTCACCTCGCATAACAACTACCGACAAACTCATAAAGCCCCTCCAATGCAGCTTGATAGTGGTTTGAACAGCGATGCGATGCGTTATGCAAAAAAACTTGCTCAAAAAGGAAGTCTTGAACATGATAAAACGACTGACGAGGGTGAGAACTTGGGTTATCAATGTCGCCCTGGCAGTGATGCCGAATTAGTGGAGGCAGTCGTCGACTCGTGGTGAGTTTCTTTGGTTAATCATTTATTTATTTATTTGCAAAGTTTGCCTAAGAGCTTCACGCTCACAGAGAGGACTCAAGCTCGTTTGTAATGACAGTTAGACTTATAGAGAAAAACGAAACAGCGATAACAACAACAACAACAAATTCAACAAAAACAGAACGACGTACATAAAATCAATCGTTATTGGCGAAGTCCTTTACTTCCCTACACGTTTTTTTACGCAGCGCGCAAATTTGTACTTTTCACTAGCTTTACCATCCCGTTCTATCCCTGCCGTGAAGGCCTGGAAACAAGTCATTCTGACCACACCACTCAAAAATAGAATAACCGGTATAATCATAGTTAACGCTAAGTTTAGTTCTAATTACTTTATCAGATATACTCTTTTTTACGTGAGAATGTTGTTTTTCCGGCCCAGGCTGAATATTCTTTCTGCCAATTTAGGGCTGAAAATATTCTTGTATTTTTCTTAAATTGTAGTTTATGAGACTTTACGATTTAGAATGTATTGGGGCCTCAATTATAGTTAGTGCAGGTTTTTTGGTTTTGTTGGCTAGTTTTGCCGTTAAGAGAAAGGAATATTGAGTTAAAAACATATAATTGTATTGTATTTACAGATTTTCAACACACAAAATTACAACCTGTTCTAAATCTTAGCCTCGGGTTTATCCTTAAAATTTCGCAAAATTTCAGCCTCCATATTATTATAAAATAAATCCTTATATAAGAAAGAGTGCCGGTATAATATCCAGTTACTTTTAATTTTCAGGTATGATGAGGTTCGTAAGTACAACTTCAACAAACCCGGATTTTCATCGGCTACTGGACACTTTACTCAAGTAGTTTGGAAGGCAAGCACAAAGCTTGGTATTGGATTTGAAAGAGGAAGAAATGACTGCCTGTTTGTCGTTGGTCGCTATAAACCGGCTGGAAACTTTGGATCCCGGGATGATTACGCCGAAAATGTACTGCCGGGTTGAAAAACTAAACAATTGCTGAACTGGCGAGGGGACACTTTCCATAGGATATAACAAACCTTCAGAGAAATCTGATCTAAAACATTTACAAAGCTTTTTTGCACAATTGTACTTTGAAAATACTGTGCAGGATCCTATATAGTCTATATAGCCTGTCGCCGGTGGTTTCATCTTCGTTAATGGTTAATTTGCTGGAGTGCGTTGAAAGATTTTAAGCCGTTTTGCATAAAAGTATCTAGAAAATACTGCACAAGATTAGATTTTGGACAGATTCCCTCCAGATTAGCAGAAATATAAGTAAGGATTCCATTAATAAAGGCCTGTCATATTTAACTTTCAAAGTTTCAGTGAGTTTAAGTAGAGACAGTTGCAGGGGGTGGGAAGGGAGGTGGGGGTGGGTGGGTTCCCTAAGGGGCTATACGGGAAGGCGCCGCCTGAAAAGGGTACCTTTTTTCAGCTTCAGCTACATGAGAGGTAAGAATTTCACATGTAGAAGTTTATAAAAGGGTAGGGACATCTGTCATTTTGGTCTGCAAGAAGACCAAAAAGGGCTAACAGGCACATTTTATGGCTGTGAAAGAGAAAAGATAAACCTCCTGGTTTTGTGATATATTTATATTGAAAAGACGGTGGATTTATTTTTACTTGTTCTAAACTAGGTATGTGAAAGGGGTACTATTTGTCCATTTAAGGTACTAATTAAAGGGGTACGGTTTCTGTATAGTACATATAAGCAGGGTAAAGAGCTGGGGAAGCCATGCTCGGCGTATAAAACTTCGTTGAGTATCAACCCCTCTTTAATACACCTGTGACTGAAGTGATTTATTCATTGCCCGATCGCTATGACATCTTCACCACTGACTGTCTTTGGATTGAAGTTTGTCAAAATATAGTTTTAAGTAAAATCGATATCACCAGCACCAATAAACAAAAAACGTCAAATTAAAAGGTTTAATCATTAAAGGCCAGTTTCGAATTATTGAAATTCGTTTCTAGCTCCGAGGGAACCTTAAAAATTCGAAACTGACCCATTGCTTTTGTATTATCCTCTTGAATCATTTATAATGCAAAATACAAAAACAGCCATTGAATAAAAATGTTAATTAGTTAATTAAAAATAAAATATAGTATAATATAATGTAATCAGATCAGATAAGCTTAAAACCGGAATCAAATGAACTTCTAGTCTAACCTGACCGAAAACGTTGGGTTCTATGTTTGCGTTTATAATAGTTAATGATTGAATATCGCACAATTCAGCGGGAAAACTATTTTCTTTGTTACTGATTGCAAAGAGCTGAAACTTGCACAAACTGCATGAATAAACCAGCTCTTTTAATTTTTGAACCTAACTGGTATTTTCGGCTACATCTTGTATGGGTTAACTCGTATGCTAATGAGCAAATATCTCAATAATGAAGTCAGAGGGTTAGGTGTTCAAACCAAAAGCCCTCTATGGGGTTGGGGAGTTAGGAATATTAGTGTCTGTAGTATATAATAGATACAGTGCCTAATAATGAGCTTGCTTTATCGTGGAAATTCCAACAGTGATAAAAGCATCACTTTGATATTTGACAGAATGTGGAAGGAAGACGTTTGGATCTTCGCGCATTGTGGGAGGCCAAGACGCAAGACCTCATTCGTGGCCATGGCAACTATCCCTTCGCATTTCCGGCGGGCACACTTGTGGTGCTTCACTGCTGAATGAAAACTGGGCTTTGACGGCTGCACATTGTGTTCGGGGTAACCCTTCACAATACTCTCTTGTTCTCGGTACGTTTCGTTCGGGAAATCCCAGTAGCCTGTGAATACATCCCTCTCTTCTCGCTCCTCGCTCCTCGTCTCTTCGCGCGAGAGACGAGACGTAGGGAACGTCTGTAGCTGCTGGGAGCTAGGAGAGACGTCTGAATTCGAAGGTTGGGTTCCCGGGGAAGGAGGGTGCATGGGTACTCTCACATTAAAGACTAGGAGAGCGATTTTCGTTTTACTTTGGAATGAACGCACGAATAAAAGCAAAACAAGTAACAATAAGAATTTGTTTGCTTTACTGAACAGGACGAGCCCGGCCCAATTTTGGTTTGGCTAACACGTAACTTATTCCCAGCTGAAGAAAGTTTGCTGGAAAGTAACTTGAGTAACTTGGGCTACCGATTGGACAATCGAACGATACTTATTTTTTCCATCGTACAGTTTTCTTTGGCAAGAAAACGACGAGTCTATCTGTTGTCTGCTAATTGGCAATTATTGAATGACGGCTGAGTAGGATGCGAAGAATTATACAGATCGAGGAGGATCATGTTAGATCGAGGAGATCCGCATAATTTTAATGATGATCGAAATCTGCATACGAAAACCAATTCAACAATTGTTTTATTATTCATTCAAAACATCTCTAAGTTCTTTTTAAAATAAGCTTTAATACTTCCTCGAAGACTTTTTCCTAAACTTTGGGCTATTTCCGGCATGGCGGTTTCAGGATATGAACGGACGTTATTAATTTTTTTTTGCACATACTCCTCAAAAAGGAGATAACATCCATCAAGCAAATGTTTTGCGTATCTTGCATTTCTTTCGTTCAGTTTTGTCTTCGGATAGCCGTGAACGCCATTTTTTAGTTCACTCCAGGCGGCCACGTCTGGAAAAGGGGTTGGTCGATGGTCTTTTGCCCAAGCAGCCTTGTTTTTAGGCCTCTTTTATACCATCGATCAACCTCGTTTTGCTATCGAATCGATGGTATAATGTTCGCATCTTCGAAATTTTTGTCAACGCCGGTTGGTTGTGAAGAATTAGCCGTGGGCTTTAAGCCAATCAAAAATGGCGAAATATTTTGAATGTATAATAAAAAACAAGTAACGAACACCTGCGAATCTCTTTTTCAAAGTCAAATAAATATCGCTTTATACATTGTTATACAGCTGTAGGTCTGTGCCGAAGAATAAGGTATAATCTTTGAGGTGCTTAATCTATAAATGGAGTATTTTTCTGGCTTTTTGTTCCTTCGATAGGGCTCCTTTAAATCCGCTAAAATCGCCTAATCCTGGGACATAAACTCCTATCAAAAACTGAACTACTCGTGAATAAAAAGTCGATTGGTTTGTACGTGAGTGAGATGACAATCTCAAGGGGCACGTGTGAAACGTTTATGTTCTTAGCTCATTTTGACTTTATCGGTGTTTGTTATCGGGGGTATATATAGATAAAATGATCTGAGGGGAAACAAAAATTATTTCGAGTTAGCAGAAGACAACTGTATATCGTTATACTTCCCAGGTAGCCTTCAGATGTGGCTTTGGGACGTCTTTTTTTTTAGCTTAAAGCAGTTTTAAAATTGACTAACGAGAAGGAATTTCTTCTTTCAAAGGTGCTCATGGTAGAAATAATGACGGCGACGTTTACAGAGTATCACGTGTAATCATACATCCTCAATTCAGCGAGTCGAATTTACGTAACGACATAGCAGTATTAAGACTGGAACGTCCAGCAAATCTTAATAGTAAAGTGGGAACCGTCTGTTTGCCATCTCAAGGGTCGCGCGTCCCTCCAGGAACAAGATGTTATGTCACAGGTATATGCGCCCTGCTATGGCTTGATAGATTGTGCTACAACCAGTTGCAAAAGTACTTGAGACATTGTACCGTATTTTGACTTAAATGGCCTGTCCATGATCTCGTGCTGGTGATCCCCCTCCACCCCTTATCAAAGTTGCTAGCAATACAAGACCATGCACAAAACTTGGAGGAACAACGTTGAATGGAATGGAGGAGAGAGGTCAGTATTATATCTCACAGACCTGTGGCTGGCTGCGATTTGAAGCAAGAAAGGTCGTTTTTTCGTCGGAGTGTCTCAAAATTTTTGCAGCTGGTTGTAACATAGTCTTTGGCATAATTTGTCATTACGAGCATAATTTTGATGTATTTCGCGAAAAAAGCACTGCTACAATAATTTGCACTTTTGGCTAGTTTTGCAGCACAAAACTGTCATTTATTGATCATGCAACCAATTTTTTTGTTCCGAGTTAAGGGTTACGGGTAACGGAGCAACAAGTTTTTGTCTGCTTAGGAAGGACCCAGGACCTTTCCACAGGACTCAACGCATGCGCATAACTGACTAGCTTGGTTACCCAAGATGGCCCCTGTGTCCTGGTTTTTTTCTTTGAATTTTTATAGTTTTCAGAGAATGAATTATGCACTCTTACAGTTTTTAGGTGTAAATAGGGTAAATGTGTTGGCCATTTACATTTTTGTTACATAGTTATTGAGGAATTGTAAACCAAATTTGACGTAAAAAGTAGAAGCATAATTTCTGAATATTTTGCTAAAATGAACATAATTTACAAAAACTAGCATAATTATTGACATAATTATAGAAATGTACGAGCAATGCTAGTAGCATATTGTGCTACTTTTAGTGTAATCTATCAAAGCCTAGCTATGGATATCCGCTCCAGTTCTTCTGCCTCAGTCCTTCCCCAGTCGCTTGCGATCACTTTTGAGGGGATATTTGAGTTGATAGGGAGCTTAAGCAACAGCGGACACGTCAACCCGAAGTGGACTTTTTGCATCATTGGGTAGCAATACAAATTTGTTAGCGTCAAGGCATATAAAAAAGGAGAAGGCCTCACTTCCGGGTGACGAGCGTCGCTCAAAAACGTCTTTGCTTAAGCTTCCTACATAATAGGAAAGCGGGTGAGAGGAGAGTTTCCCTCTTTTTCTCTTTTTCCTTCCCATCACTCCCCGCGCCGCTCAGACTCTGAGCTCGTTCCCAATATAGCTCTCAAGTTTCTCGTTTGTCCGTGGGTCGTGGCTAGATGGAATCACTCAGAAGGAGGTGATCGAGGAGGACTAGAAACGAGAGTTGCTTTGGCAATCTTCGGTTCGTGAGACAAGATGGCACATCTCGCGATCAATTTACGTCGTCGGACTAGCAGAATTTAACAATAAAGAACTTCGAACGGCAAGGGAAATGTATCTGAGATTATTTTAGATTCCTCTGTTCCTTAAAAATAAGGAATCTTTCGATAATAATAGCGTCAGGGAGCATACACCTCAGAATTGCCATGCAGAGTGTTTTAGTTCTTATTCCTTCTTTTGGACAAATCAACGTTTCAAAAATTGGTCTGAAATCAAAATCAATAAAAGAAGTTATGTTTTCATTACATTTAAACAGGATGGGGGCGAATCAACTCGAACAATAATGTATTGGCAACAACCCTTAAACAAGCCAACGTCCCAGTGGTAAGCAACGCACAATGTCGTCAGAGAAATGGTGGAATTGTGGATGAGAAGTCTATGGTTTGTGTCGGGGGTCAAGGAAGTAGCGTGTGTATGGGCGACAGTGGTGGTCCCCTGTCGTGTCAGGAGAGTGGCAAGTGGGTTGTTCGTGGCGCGGCCTCTTGGGTTACGAGTAGAACGTGTCCCGGGAATACTTATTCTGTGTACGCTAGGGTTAGTTCTTATGTAGACTGGATCAATAAGTACGTTCAAGGTAAGTTGCAAAATGTTATTTGCTACAATATAATTTGTCGTTGGTCTTTTTATCGTTTCAAGGAAAAAAAGGACTAAACCTATGTCCGCCGTTTCCTTCCTCAAAAGTGGAAGGGCCATTCCGTCTTTGTGCGCATTTGAAGTATAAGATGTAAAAGAGGATCTAAGATATGTATCAAGGAATGGTCCAGATTGTACCGACCTGAATTTGCCCATTAACGTTAAAACAATAGGTCTTCTGTTCCAGGTCACACTTGCCCATACCAAGCCGAAGCTTGTTTGAATAATCGGAAACCTTCGGCGTGACAAACTTGTGAACCAGAGGGGGTGGGAAGTGCTACATTGCACTGTGAAGAATCAAATTTCACTGTGGTACCGTCGAGAGAAGTTGAACTTCGTAGAAATTCAGTCATTAAAAGGTCAAAAGAACCATTTTTAGGTCTGTAGGCCGGTTTTACTAACTGGTTTGTAAAATAAACTGCTCACTAAAAAAGCTGTGAAACGAGTACATAGAAGTTGCTCGCTGTCGGTTAAGGGCGCCTGAAAAAATTCTCAAACGGTAAATGGGTAATATTTACCAAAAATAGATTAAACGTAACTTGACGAAATATCACGGACAGGATCGCCGTAAAACCGTGGCTGTTAATAGCAACAACAAGTGCTAATAATAAATAATGTTCAATATTAACAATTTAGGTGGTGGTGGTGGAGGCGGAGGCGGAAGCGGAGGCGGAGGAGGTAAGACACATAGCTACAAAATTTATAGCAGCTTAGTGGCAGATTATCACCATCAGATTCTGAAGTTGCAACAGCAATCATGTGTACAGTTCTAGTAATTTCTGTATAAAACATTTAAATTAGCGTACAAAACGACTATTACAAAGTGACGGTTTTCTCATCGTCAATAAACAAGGCAACGAGTAGTAGAGGGGTTGGGGTTTGGGGTACTGTCATATATGGGCTATATAGTAAGAATGGCGGCGGCAGCGGTGCTGGCGGAGGAGGTAAGACACTTATAAACCTTCATCAAAATAAAGCCTCGGGTTACTGGTGGTTTCGTCTGTATAGCTTGGGATTTTTTTGGAGGGCTTAGGCGCGCTTCCAGTTCGCCACTTCAGAATCCATAAGATCGGCGCAACGATTTCTGGGATCGCATGGGAGGACAAGCGTTACTTATGATTGGTTAATGGTTGGCTTGAATACCATCGCTTGTACCTCCAAACTATCCCAGAAATCGTTGCGCCGAAATCTTGTACCCATTCCTCTCGTAGTTTCTGGGGAGGGGAATTAAAGTGTACCCTAACTAACAAAAATGGCTCAAAGAAGTTCTATTGTGTATGTAAAATGACTTTTGATGCCTCTGTTATGAAGTTGTTTATCAAGTTCGTAGTAGAATAACGCCCTTGCAAGACAGATAGAATTGAGACCTTATTGAACAACCGGCGTTGTTTGTTTGTTAAGATCTTGGGACACCCATTTAGCACCCGCAAATTTTACAGGGGCGATCCTATGACATCACTCCACAAACTTGGTAAAGGAGAGAGAGACTGGGCTCGATAACTAGAACGCATTCCGAAAATCTGTCATCATTACACGGTTATGGTAACTTTGGTTTTGATGGGTTAGCTAATTAAGGTTTTTTCAAAGTATTTTTTCTTTGTGTTTAGGAGCATCTTTTCTTAAACAAAAGGCCATTCATGTTATGATGACATAAAATAGATTACTCGCTTCATATTGGAAGCACCGCCCAAAATGTGTCAGTCAATGAAAATTGTGCTGTATTTTAATAACAATAAATTATTGTTATTCTCCATGACCTGCCTCCGTCACAGACCTTCTCAAGGCTTAGTGGGAGGCACGGAACAAGCGGAAAGCGCAAGAGCTGAAGACAAGAGGGAAACGCGAGAGGGGGATGATGGGAACGAGCGCACAGGTGCGAGCAGGGAGTGAAAAAGTGATCGCGAGCGACTAGGGACGAGGCAGCTCTTTGGCTGTTCGTGTTAGCCAAAAATAGTGCATATGATGAACTGGCAGTCTACAAGAAAACAAAATTGACTTTATCGATGATTTTATTTTTAAAGGAACACAGTTTGAAAAGGAGAGTTTAGACCTGCATAACAAATATCGAAGCATCCATAATGCTCCGAAAATGAGTTTGAATAAGGAAATGAGCAGGCAGGCAACAGCTTATGCCAGGACCCTCGCAATCAGCAGGAACTGCAATGTTCAACATGCCCAATCAGGAGATGGCGAAAACATATCTGGTCTATTCGGTGGATCGCCGCCTGGTGAAAGTGAGTTGGCAAAAAACGCTGTATTTGGGTGGTAAGTATATTATAAAAGACTCTCCAAAACCGATACAAAAAAATTAAAAATTACGGGATTTTCAGTCTGAATAAAATGTAATTAAATGTCAACAGTTTTGCCTTTCATCGTCGACTACTAACTTTAATATACAAATTGTTTGAAGAAACCCGCTTGTTTGACCTTTTTTGAAATGATTCATGTACAGAGAGTGTTTTTCTCAAAGCCATCTTCCTCGGCCGAATAATGGCTTTGTGTATGTCAGAGATGTCTAGTTTGACGACGCTAATGTCCTGTTTTCATTGGCTAGTATTTTGTTTCTGTTTTCACACCCCTATATTTTTTTTCTTTCTAAAGGTACAAAGAAGTATGCGACTACAAATACAATTTTAACAATCCCAGTTTGAAGGGCGTCGGTCACTTTACACAGTTAGTGTGGCAAAAAAGTGTAGAGTTGGGTATAGGATATGCAACGAATACTGCCAGACGTTGTACTATTATTGTAGCGCGCTATAGGCCGGGAGGAAACTACATCGGACAGATAAGAGAAAATGTTTTAAGGGGATCTTTTAATGGCAACTGTATCCCCCCGTGAATTGTAGGTAAACGTGGGAGGAAGGGGGTAACTGAAGTTGGAAGAGATTGTTGTAATTATAACTGAGAGAAACATCAAAGCAAAGGGGAGGTAGCGGAATTCGCTCAAGTTGAAAAGATAACAGTATCTATTGAATAATCGGTGTTCAGGCTTGTTGGTCAAAGGTAATTTGACCACGCAGTTTTGGAATGCACTGTAGAACTCTTGCTTTAGAATCAACAGGCTCTTGGTTCACGACAATTCAACATTGTGTATTAGTTTTCCTAGACACTGCTTGTAACAAGAAAGGAATAAAGTTTATTGGGTACATTTAAAGTAGCTTGAGTTGCTTGCTACATGATCTAACGTTCCCAGCAGATATGGATCCTTATTGTTTCTACCTGATAGAACAATTCTTCAAAGCGATATCGATATAAATTTTGTTTTATCTGTAACAAAACTCCTATGCTAAAGGTAATCATTGGTTATGGATTATTTACTGAAACGAAATCGAGTCGAAAGGAGTCCAGTTTACAGGCCGAGATGCCTCTAAAATTCCTGCCTTGGGTGCCACAGGAACACCAGATTAGGATGCGTTCTGACGAACGCGATTAATCTTCAAGGGACACAAGTCCCACGAGTCTTAGCTTCTGTAGCTTAGTGATGTGGTAGAGAGCAACTTGATTATAGTCAGAAGGTCATAGGTTCGGCTCCTATTGGGACTGCCCAGCTACCCCTCCCCTAAGCCAACATTTTGCCCTGAGTGAAAAGAAAGTGTTAATGTTGGCTTAGGGGAGGGGTAGGTGGGCAGTTTCCCAGAAACGGATAATGCCGATTTTTGTTCTTCTGAGGGCCACAAGTTTATCAGTTTTTTCATAACTGTCACGTCTTTACCCTCTTTAAATACAGGCGTTACCTTACCTTAGCTAAGGCGTTACCTGTGTCACTCATCACTGACACAGCATCTTTCTCGTGTATTAACGGGGCTTAAAATTCACCACCACAGCTATCACTTTTTATTCTTGTTTTTGTTGAAAATTTTCCTTTAAGGATTTTTTTTTGTAAACTAGCTAAGATCCCATGCACGAAGTTTTTGGTCATTCTCTTAAAGTCAAAATATTTTATCTACCGTTCCATTTCGTCGATTTGGATTTTGGCGACAATTGTGAACATGAAAATAATTTCAGAAAAAAACGTTGAAAAAAGACAAACAATGCAGTTAAATTTGAAAAAAGTCAGAAAAAAGTACAATAGATCTAGATCATTGAAAATCATTTCTAAAAATGAATTTTTGGGGGGTAAAGTCGAGGTAGATTTTTGGTTATTACATTCAATTATTTGGCTACTGATAAACGTTTTTCCTGGAACAAAAGACCAGTGCAACACTGAAGCGGAACACAGTGTCTGGAAGGGGTTAGTTTCGCGTGATCCTTGAATTGACCGGTAAACAGAGTGTGAATCGGGAAAACTCATGAAATACATTCGTGATTCGTGACACTGAAGCGGAACAGAGTGGTCCCTGGGAGGGGACACCACTACTTCCTTTTTTAAACGGGCATGTGACTTCAAACAGGGGATGGTTTTGGGGTTCTTTAGTCAACAGGGTTTGTAATTACGCAATATCTGAGCGATTTCTCTCGAGATGATTGGTCGAGAGCTATGGTCTGTGCCATTTTAGACCAAGGAAATGATGCGGTGTTGGCAGAATTTTTTCCCTGTCTCTCTCGCGACAGTTTCTCTAAGAAACTTCACTGTGAATAGATTTTAAAATTGTCAGTGTTATTTTAAAAATGAAATTTTTTACGAAAAGACAACAATTTTCCATGGACAACGTATAGTACACCTTAGCCCATAAAGAATATCTATGGTCTCTGATAGACCATAGAGATTATAGAATACGTCCTCAAGGGCCTAAAATCACAAGAATATCTGTCATTATTTTTGTTCATAAAAATCGACATTCACGGCAGTTTTTGTCTTTGACAAAGCCCATCTAATAAATTCTAAAAGACCATGGCCAAGGTTTTTACCACCCTTACGACGTATTCAAAAAGAAGGCGCCTTCTTTTTACAAGCATCTCACACTGCATCTCCCATTTGTACTTTTCTTCATAGAACTTTTGTA